AAAAAACTTTTTGTGTTTATCTCTGACATTTGGCAGTGTCTTTGAAAAAAATCTTTTAGTGTGATCATTCAAACCTGTCATTCTTCGACGGTACTTTTCTTACGCAGTTTCAGAAACAGGTTCTAACTTTTGAGTTCTTAGAGGAAATCGTATCGTGTGATCATTTAAATGAAACCTCTTCGACAGTACTTTCATATGAAATCATTTGTTTGGCAGTATTAAAGAAAAAAAATAGGGATGTTTTTCAAACTTGATCTCGGAGAATTTTGGGCGTTAAAGCTGAATTGTAATCTACTTCGGTCCATCATTTTATTAAATCCACTAGAGTTATTTTTCTTCAGACAGCTTATTCTGTCTTGCTTCGTAGATATAATTTTTATCCAATTTATTGCATGAGCATTCGTTGATGAAAGCCTTTAGAAGAGTTAAACAAGAATAACAAGTAGACGGAATATCTGTTTGTTGGTAAGAACTAAACTCATTGATTTCTATACTGGCTGGTGAAGAACAGTGATACTGACAAACTATTCATGGTCCAGCCAAAGTAAACACTTAACCATTTTTTCTTTTTTTTATTAAACACTTTACTTATCCCAGTAACCTGGCGGATAGACCCGCTCCCTAATTCCACCACTGATCTTGCAAACCGTGTACCGGCTTTCGTTGATAATTGTTAGAACTTATTCTTAAAACCGCGAGAACGACCCCGGAATTGCTTAAAATTCACTTATATAATCCGGTTCTCAGTCAGAGATTCATTTCTTAAATAAACAATTGGGATATGTAACCATGTAATGCCCCTAGTGGCATCAGAGGGGCTTAACTTTTCTGCGCTAATCGGAGCCGTAAGAGGACGCAAAATTTTAAAGCCTTCTTAGGCGATTATTTTTTTGTAAGATGCAAGCAAAAAACTTGAAATATTTCACCGAAGCCACTGATGCCTCGGTTGCCACTATACATACCAGTTACGAAACTGAGGCCAAATGATCTTAATCTTAATGCGAGTATGATCTAACTTTTTCTTCAGGCTATTTATTGGACATTATTTCGTTATTCATATCAGACACTTTGGATGAAATAATAGGGTGTGACTATTCAAATGATAACTTTCTCGCATTTCTTTCATTTGGTTTTACGGGTTCTATAAACTATAGAGTCTGTTTTTGTGACAATTTCATTAACACCTTCTCCGATCAGACCTTTACATAGTCTTACCTAATTTTCCATAAATGTGCAAAGCTGACGTTTTTTTCTTGGTTTATTTTATTAACAGTTCATTTTCGTGAAATCTTGATTCGAGACACTCATAGCAGTAAGATGATTAACGCATCTGTTTGTTTCCCTTCGTCATTTTGCAAGAGTATTTATAAAAGCATCATGAGTAAACGTTTTGGGAAGATAATTTTTTTTCCGTATTTTTAACCTGCTGCTTTGGCTTTCCGATAGTGAGTTCCAACCTGGCCTTTCTTTGTTTTAGAAATGCGTCACACAGCTCACTTGAAACTAGAAAGTGTTTTGCTGAAATTCTTTTAGTTTGAAGACAATTAAGAAAATTTCGACTAGTTTCATCCTCTCTGTTCTCTCAACACAGACAAGGGCGAACGCGACAAATAGCGAGCGCCATCAAATCCGTGTCTAGTTCGTATTTCCAAGGAATTAGAACACAGTATACAGCGGAATTCCGATTTCTCGAACCCTCGGTTTTCAAAATCCCTTCTCCAGTCAAACAATTTAGACTATCCTAAATTTTCGACCTTACCCAGTCAAACACTTTGGGCCAGTTATTTAAACGGAGTTTAGCCGGTGTTTAACAAAACCGCGGTCTATGCCGTTGCTTTTATGTAAACACCATTATTAATCGTGAAAGCATATGGCGTAGACTAGAAAGGATTTTTCTTCTTAAAATATCCCACTAAGGAAGAGATCTGCTGGTCGTAAACCGCGGCCGTCTAAGTTAGACTTCGTTTAAATAACCGACCATGTAAATCTAGCATTTAGATTTTGAAACCTCCCGCTACTTCGACTCAATTTCCCAGGGCAGTTGAAAAATCGGGACTTCTCTGCCAGAGAAAATGCGAGTTAAGAGTAGGCCTGACACTGGAGCATCGAAAATCTGAAAACCGTAAAAGAAAAAATAGACTGATGAAATTAGGGAAACGAGTCAATAGAACTCGATAGAATTAACATCAAAGAAAAAACCCGTAGTCTAACAATCAAAAAGTGCAGATGAAGACAAGTTGTACTCTTTTACTCTAAAGAACTTATGGACGAAGTTGTGCTTGATATAAAACTCTGCATACTCCGTACCTTTTTACGAATGGACCAACATAGCAAACCCAGAATCAGATGCAAATTTTGATCGCCAAAAAAAATTGTTCGCACAAACTGAACGTTGATAAAAGGAAAAACCGATAATCCTACAGACATTAAAACGTAAAAACCACAAAGTTCAAAAGGCAAAAACCGAAATTAAAGCACATGTCAAAATTAGCTTAAACCGCAAAACCAAAAGTTTCATCTCTCTCCCTACCCCACGCACACCACTCTCACGCATACACACATACACACCCCACTTTTAGTTACATTATGACATTTCTGCTCTTTTTTTTAGTATAGGAATTAAAAAAAGTCTTTATTTCTTTGAAACTCTTCCTTTCACAAAACGATTCCGTAGCAACGTATATTACTAACAAAAAAAATTAAACTAAAAACTAATATTCCATAAACAGGATTTATTAAACTTAACACAGTTTATCATTTACGATTCTAGTGAAACCGTCGTACGTGCTATATTTTTTGTGTATTTAATTTAACATGTTGTTTTAACTGCAAATGTTAGCAAAAATACCCATGGATCGAATATCGGCGTCACGGCTGGTGACAGATTGCCAGCTATATTTTACATTTTAATTATACTTTTTTTTCCTTTATTTTAGTTTTCGAGTCAGCCGATATTAGTTGGAAGCGTTATTTAATTTGTAGTTTGCTGAGTTATTGAATTTTTTTCTCTTTTCTTTTTTGAGTCGAAGCAGTTCCCTGCTATTTGATTTTACTGATGCAGGGCTTTTGTACAGCTGGGCGGCCTATCTACTGAACAACTTACATCTTATCTGCGCTACAACAAAAACTTTAAGTCCATTAATGTTTTTACTCGACACTTGAAATGCAAATTAAGGCTAAAAGCCTTTACTTTTGTGACGTAATACTGAATTTCCCTTCAGGTTACAAAACCATCCTTTCAATTTCTTTTACAGTTTTGTATTTTGCTTTGCTATAAAACTAACAAAAGTACAGTTGTTTTAGGCCGGAAGAAACGTTTTTACCCACTTCGCCGTCAGAATAAATGAAGGTCGGATTTATTTAACGGTCAATTTTCTAATATGATGGGTTGTTAGCCGAAACCACTCTGAAAACTTAAGAGACACACCGGTCCCTATCTTAAATAATAATAAAAAAAACAGATGAACACGTAGGAGTTTTTTTTTGCCAATTATAAGAATCTGACATCGAAAACGTCTTATCGAAAAAAAGAAGAAAGAGATAATTTGAGTCAAAAGGGAAAAAATAAAATTGAGCTGGTTAATTGTTTTTCCTTTTATTGGATCAAAGATTATTCGATGGTAATCAGCTTTAGGGTTGTATTGTACTTAACAAGGCCGCAATCTTTCACGACTACAGACATCTCGTTCTAGGTGCCATATGTTAGAGGCGTTAAGCAGGAGAAGCATCAACGACAGCGACGGCTGCGCCCCCTCAAACTTAGTCGCGCTAATTCCATTTCGTTCAATTCGTCCAATGTTGGCAAATTTTTCTGAAGTTGAGTACTACTAAAGGGCTGTGTTAAAGTACAGGAAAAGAAAAAGGAAGGCGTTGTCCTCGGTTCACGTACTCTTCAAAATGTGAAATTAGGCATTTTCACGTCGCAGTCGTGTAGTGACGGCAAAGAAATGTGCAAAAAAGCGTGATGCACGTGCAAAGTTATTGTTTTGTTAATCCAAACCTATTGCCTTTTTGCCGCTCTTGTTGTCGTCGCCGCTGTCATTGCTTAAGCTCCCTAATAATATAAACTACATGAACACCGGCTGCGTGACCCTTTCCTCTTATGTCTCGTTACCTGAACGTTGATCGCTATACGGTAGGCCCTATATTTAAGACAGAGACTGTTGTTCCAGGCACTGATGTCCGTTTTAGATGTCCACCGTTTAGAGAGTCAAAGAAAATGACCGTAGTACAGCAGGACCGTCTTTAGGTTAACAGGAAGTCTACTGTATATATACGGCCTCCTAAGAACAATTTTGGTCGTTTATCTGGAAAACAAAAAAGCAAGGACTTAGCGAACTCACTTAGGGTGCATTCGATTGATTTTTTTCTCTGTGAAAAATATCTTCAACAAAACGGTTTTGGATCACTTGAATGCTACAATCATCTCAATTTCTAATCTCCACCTGATTTCTGGATTTTATATCTTACCAGGCAATAAAGGCCATAAAAACAAGTGATTTTTAGAGCTTCTTGCGATCACGTATTCCTGTTCCGGAATACGGTCAATCGACCGTGCCCTTAGTATGACGCATCAGGACTTTGGTAAATGATTAAACTACCAAAATTAGTTAAGAACAAGTGTAGTTGTATTAAAAGAGACTCTTCCAAGGGATAGCTCCTTGTTACTCAAGCTTTTAGATCCAACTCCACGTTCAATTTAGAGAAAGGTTTCGGAATTTACTTTTTCTGTAACAAGATAGCACTATAGATAGTACTATACTTAAATTACTAATATATAGAGATATTTTCCTTTTTTGGCGCCATACAACTTTCTGTCAGGATAGTTACAAATCAAACAGCCATGGTCGTTAATTAAAGCTTTCCTTTTTTCCCGTGTTAGGTTCTCGAATGTTACGGGTCAGTGGAAGCAGTGTCCGTTTCGTACATAAATCTAGTGCTTTTTAGCACTAAAATAACTTGTAAATTTTTAGAACGTTTCGTGAAAGGCCTATCTTGAGATGGCAAGGCAGCGTCGGTTGTTCTTGCATCCCCGTGACGAAGAATTTTCGCGTTGGTTTCGCTTCACTTGGGAAGGTATCACGAACTTCTAACTGTGAATATTTACTTGCTCTTTTGTTGTCATGCTCCAATCAAACTAGCTCAGAAGCTAAAAATATCGATCGAATGAGTATGTGAAGGTTTGGAAGATTTGGGACGGGTAAAAGACATTTCATAACTCAAGCTTAGCGAGGGAGGTGTTCTCCATTAGGGCAGACCATTTCGCGGAGAATGAGGCAGTCGCGAGATACGTTTGAATTTTAAAGCCAAACTCACACTTAAGTTAGCATTTAGAAACCTGAAAAAAGTTCGATGACGGGCGTTATCCCTTTTTTTATTAGTCCCAGAGAGAATGATAGAGTCTTGTAAAGTGGTTCTAACTTTTGAGGCTGTGGAAAAAAAATCTTGTGGTGTACCCCATTCAAATGAAACCTCTTCAGCAGTACTTTCACATGGTACTATTTATTTAGTATGTAGTTCTAACTTTTGAGTCTGTGGATGAAATCCTATGGTGTTACCATTCAAATGAAACCTCTTCAGCAGTACTTTCACATGGTACTATTTATTTAGTATGTAGTTCTAACTTTTGAGTCTGTGGATGAAATCCTATGGTGTTACCATTCAAATGAAACCTCTTCAGCAGTACTTTCACATGGTACTATTTATTTAGTATGTAGCTCTAACTTTTAAATCTGTGGATGAAATCCTATGGTGTGACCATTCATGAGACGTCTTTGGCAGTAATTTCACATGGCCGGTACAGTAGTGTTCGTTTAGTATGTAGCTCTAATTTTTAAATCTGTTGACAAAATCCTAGGGTGTAACCATTTATTTAAAATGAAACCTCTATATTAACAATTTCACATGATGCTATCAGGATTCATGTTTAATCCAGCATTTCACAAAAAATTGTGTCAAATTGTGTGTTATGCCACTTTTGAGAGTGAAGGGATTAAAATTCCAACTCACTGAAAAAAAACGGTCTTTAAGTCCGGTCTCTTGATTCTTGCAGCTTGTGAAGTGTGTGGAGACAGATGTACTGGAAAGCATTATGGAGTGTACTCATGCGATGGGTGCAGTGGATTCTACAAGAGGACGTGTCGTCGAGCTGAGCCTTGGCTGTGTAAGGGCCAGGGGCAGTGCCCGGTGGACAAGAGTAGCAGGAATGACTGCAAGGCCTGTAGACTGAAGAAATGTATCGAGATTGGAATGAACCTGGAAGGTTTGCTCTTTATTTTGTTGGTACATTAGGGCCATGAAATAGATTGTAGGTTAGCGAGCTGAGTCGGAGTTCTAGATAGAGATGTACAGCTATTTAGCCTGCGAAAGGCAGACGTTTCTCCTCGCTCATCGCCGTTGAGAGACGTTTCGCGAGGTTCCTCCTCGCGAAACGTCCCTCAGCGGCGATGAGCGAGGAGAAACGTCTGCCATTCGCAGGCTATCAGCTATTTCGATCCCTTTATAGTCTCTCTTTCCTGTTACTGACTAACATTTAGAGAGACTTAAGGGATAAGATTAACGTCACAGGTTGTTCAAAATCAAATTTGTAGTCCTCCGCAGGATTAGCTCGGTCAGTAGAGCGTTTGACTGCAGAGCGGAAGGTCGCGGGTTCGATTCCAGCGGCGGGACCAATACTCAGGGTTTTAAAATAACTGAAAAACCAATAAAGGCTCTGCCTTTGCTTTGGAAACGGCTGGACCTTGTTCGCATAGCTCGGATGACTACGTAAAATAGCGATCCCGCCTCCAGAAGGAGACGTAAAATAGTATCCTCCGTTAGTACTTTCGTACTAAATACATTGACACTCAAATAAACTACTTTTTTCCAATCTTAAGGTCCCCAGTAATACATTTATCGACTGCTGGGCAGAATATTAAAAGTCAAAGTGATGTCAATAATTGTCAAAAGTAATTAAGTTTTGGCCTTGACAAGTTTACTCTAGCGAGAAATAATAGTATGGGCAGAACAGAACACAGATTTGCGGTAACAAACTTTTAGCCGAGAATTTTCTGTGATAGCTCTAGTTTAAACGGTCAAGTCTTAAGGACCTTCAAGGTTTCAGATGGCTTCTAAAAGGCTACAGGGTAAGGAAAACAGAACCCTAGGAAAAGTACTGTTCGTCAGCTTTAATTTCATTTCAATGATCACAAAGATTCATTCAGCATCTGCAAGTTACAATAGCATTTCATGATTTCCGGCAAACAGGAAAAAGCGAGTTAATAACTCCGGCTGTCGGGATGGTCGCACATTTTAGTTTCGGAAGAAACAAAAGCCGGTGGGGTCTGCTCAATTTCAAACACTTTGCGACTTGTCGGCAGTTATTGCACTCTATAGTGCATTGGATGTTTATCTCATGGACCGAAAACATTTGATAACATACTGCCAGTACTTATCAAGTTACACCGTGCTTTTTGTTCGGTGTTCATTACATAATTGCGCGTTCTTAATTATCTTATCAAATTGCAAGATGCTGAAGAATTCTCTGGTCTAGTAAGAGACAGATATTACGGACAAACAAAGAATAATATTGGAATTTTCGTTCACGATTGGAACTTTATTGGCGAAGTTTGTAGCTTTTAGGTAAAAATCATTGTTAATCTTAATATCAAGACGAATAAAACGATGTCATGTACTGTAATTCACCTACTCTACATTACGTAATTCACACTGATATTAGTAGTTTTCCAAGAGCAGCTTATTCTAATGTTTTAATTGTAATATAGAGAAATGAACTCAATTAATAGGTGGTACAATTGCTCTTAACACTTTAGCTTGGTTAAAGAAACTTGCCGCTTTCTTCGGCTGTTCACAGCTTTTGTATTGTTTATGGAAAACAAAACTGAGTAATTGCGCCTTGTAAGTAACTTGAGCTCGCTACTTAGATTTTTATGTAGCGCACCTTTACAATTATACAGGAAAAATAAACTGATGGCTGTTTTTTTGTCATATTAGAGAGTTTTAGACCCGAGTTTACCGCGAACCTCTAACCGCTGAAGGTCACGTGACAAGTCTTTCGCGTCACGTTTGAGGTTTACGACGTGCGTTTTCAACGTGGGGAGGTTGGTTTTCACGTAGGTCATTTACCTGAAAGCTTTTAGCGTATAATTCTTGTTTTATCTCACGTAATGATACAAAAATCTTGTGGAGCAAGTCTTTATCCATTAACACAGGCACAAATTCGGGCGAAATGCTAAATTTGATAAATCCTATTGGATCTTGAAAACAAGTGCCATTCATGGCTGCTGATTCAAAATGGCGCCCGTAAATTTGCAAGAAGAACTAATGTAAGAATTTACAGCTCTTTGCTGCTAGATAACCAAGTGTTATTCTATTTCTCCTATTTCTAAATGGAAAAATAAACCAGAATCCACTTCTTTAAACCACCGCCAATCTAAATCGAATTATGTTTGAACTTCGAACCGCAAACGGGTAAGCGCCAACCGCGGTTAGAGGTTCGCGGTAAACTCGGATCTAAAACTCTCTATTGTTAAATTTCAACTTCTCCGTGTAAATGTTGCAGACATTTCCAATTTGGAAATAAGGAACTCACTAAAGGATATGTCGTGTTGTCAAATTCCTGATTGACGTACAATCTTTCCATACTTATTGCCAAGCTTAAATGACTTAGTCGATGAGAGGCCCGGGGGGGGGGGGGGGGAGGGACTCCGCATATGAAAGGGGTGGGGATGCTCGTCGTCTCGCTTAGGGGTGTAAATTTCCGATTTTGGTCTCACTTAGGGTGTTCTGGGCAAAACGCCATCATATTTAGCCGTGAAGGTCTCGTTTAGGGTTGCATGCGAAAAAATATGAAAATATATATTTGATATGTATATTTTTGATTCGTTTTCATCAATACTTAAAGAAGACGTCTTTGTCCATTGTTTTCATTTGTCTGTGTTTTAACATGGTCTCTTTTAGGGGTCCAAAAAAGCTTGGGCCACGCCCAGATCGGTCTCCTTTAGGGGTTTAATTCAAAATTTCCGACGAGCATCCCCACCCCCACCCCCCCCGGCATGAGACGATAAGCTGAGTTGGGATAAAAAGGTTCTGCGTTTATCTTTTTAGGCGTCTACCGTCGTTTCAGATTCAACGAAGAACTTGTTAAGTCCCCTCCAGCAGAAAGTTTAGCGGACGTCACGCAAGGCGACATGCGAGTGGACGTCACCCCTCCGCTCGAATCACAGGGTAGGTTTTTCGAAGGTACCGGTAATTATCGAGATCTGTTTCATTTGCCCGTATTTGTATTCAAGATCAACGGTTCTAATAATTTACAAAGTAATACAGGACGATAAAACTGTTCTTTTAGGTTTTGATTTTAACTGAAAATCCGCCATTGCTTCAGTCCGGAAAAGTTGGCGGGACTTTTGACAAACTTTTCTTTATCAACTGACATTTTCCCGTTTCTTATTATTACAGCTGGTTTAGGTTATCCTGGTGCGACTCCACAGATAAGAATTGTTCATACAAAATCAGTCATGGTCAAAACGGAAGAGCAACAACATAATGACAAACAATACGAACAAAAACAACAACAGCAGCAGCAGCCGCTTCAACAGATCGAAACACCTGAAACGGAAAATAACCAGAGAAGACTATCAAGCCCGAGGTACTTCGAGGATAGCCAAGGGGAGAAATTTGTTGCCTCACGCGCCAATTCGATGTCAGCCGCTAAAGATTACTTCAGCTCCACCCGCTCAGTTGCATTCTCCACCCCTCTCACATCAATGACAGCCTCTTCTATGCCAGGACCTGTGCGAGTAACCTTGGTATCGCAAGATAACAATTCAAACTCTATACACAGTGCAGTTCCATCTCAATCTCGCCACACTATAGCAACACCTCTATCAACGCAAAGGTTTCACCCGCCTTCGACTTTTCCGTCCATTCAGCAGAATGGCCACACAAGTCCCCCTACGCCCGCTCTCGGGTTTTCTACTTCGGATCCTGTGACAAACGACCACCGTGGAGCCTCGACGGCATTAGTATCCTTTAGGAACGCGCAGAGGCACTTTCAGCCCTCTCAGATGAGTATGTCCGAGCTCCATCAAGCAGTGGAACCTCTTTCATTCCACTCCTCTGAGCCCCTCCATGATGCGGCCTGTCGTCTCCTAACGGTTTCCCTAAGGTTCGGCCGTAGACTACCGTGCTTCAGACGGCTGCCCTTCCGCGATCAAGTCATTCTTTTGGAGGAAAGTTGGCGGGAGATGTTACTTTTGGATTCAGTGTTCTGGGCGTTGTCACTTTCTTCAGGGGCCAGCAGTGATAGTGATCCAAGAGAACAGGAGATTAAGACAGCTCGAGAAGCTTTGCTACCATTAAGAACGCTTAAGTTGGACAGTTCAGAGTACGCATGCCTCAAGGCTGTCATTCTCTTCAGGACAAGTAAGTCATTTCCTAACCTCGTTCCCAGGTTCTCTCTCCTACCTGTCGCTCGCTCCGTGGGAACGGGTAGGAGAGACCCCTGGGAACGAGGTTGGTCATTTCCAATCAATTTGGACAAACACCATTTTGGGGGGGTGGATAGAGGAGGAAAGCGAAGTTCTTTCTTCCCCACCCCAACCCCCCTCTATTTCTTGGTATTGCTGTAGTCCTTACTTTCGTGCCTAGCATTAGAGTTATTTTACCAAACCCGTCGGCCGTGAAACAGTATGTAACAATTAGTGCCAAATAGTTACGAATAAACAAAAGAAAACAAAGAAATTAAGAGATTAATAGTTCGTATTACTCTGCTATCTATTTCTCAGGTTAAGTAAAATCTCTCCATCACAGAAACGCTTGCTGTGAAAGCTTTTTATAGGGACGATTTCGTTAAAGGACGCAATTATTTTGTTTTCCAATACTATTTGATGTAATTAAAAAAGAATTGTTGAACGAAAACGAACAAGTTTTTCGTCTACGTGGTTTTTGCAGTCAGCCATACTCACTTTCTTTGCACTATACAACAATAGCTTTGGGGTGTTCTCAATTACTATTTTATGCTTTTTTTCCCTCTGTCAAACTTAGTCTTGTTATACATAACAGCGGAATGAGAGGGGGAAAAACAACAACAGGAGGCCAAATGTTTTTGTAATTGCTTTTCTTTCCTTAACCGATAGGTTCTTATGGGTCCCGGTTAATTGTCTGTTGGTCCCTGATCGAACAACAGTCACAGATAAACTCTTACAGAGTTTATTTGGCTCTATAGCAACGCTAAAAATATATTTTTTTTATTGGTGTTCTGTTTTCTAAACAGATATTCATGGTCTCAAGTCTAAAGATCAAGTGGAACAACTTCAGGACGAGGCTCAGCTATTGTTGGCAGACTATGTCTGGTCCAGGCTCCCAATTCAACCCGCTCGGTTCGGCAAAATACTGTTAAGCGTTGCTTCCTTGCGCAGTCTGGCGGAAAAACCTATTGAACACTTGTTCTTTAACGCTAGCTCCGCCAAGGATGTGTTTGAGACAATCCTATCACAGGTGATTAGTTCCAACTAGAGGTCTGAACTTGGAAAATAATATACTAAGGAGTCCGTTACCCGGAACATTCAGCTCTCACACCTAGCCACGCTTTATGAAAGGGACTCCGGGAAACTTTTGCTTGTGGAATCTGGAATCCCACTAACGATTGCACTCCGGAATCCAAGATCCACTGACAAATAATCCGGAAAGTACCAGAGTCAAAAAAGGAACGTAATAGACTGATCACGTGAAAGGACTAGTATTTTAAATTGCAGTGAAAAACGATAAGTAGCCTTTTGTATAAGAAATATTGATATTTATTAGATTTTTTAATATTGTATATTATTAGATCTAAAATAAAGCTAAAAATGGTAAGAGAATAGTTCGTCCAGTTTCTTCATTAAAGTTGTTTTATAGCTCAGCAAGGTATAAAACAAATTTTCATTTCTGTAGTTTTCAGCGTCTATTCATCTCAGAGGGGACTAACTCAAGCAGGTGTGTGCGTATGGGAGGAAGGGGGGGTTAATGTATTGTAGCCCTCTATACTGATTTTGGTGGAAAATATTTCGTAAATCTCTAAAGCTTCGTTTTAGGCACTTTGTATGACTACGCGTAGGGTCACGTGTAGAATTGCTACCTGCGTGCGAGGAAATAGCACGCGCAGGACACCTTCCTCTTCGCTTTAGGCCTGGCTCGTTCACCCTGAGGAAATGAGGGACAGTCGCTGACGACATTTCAAGTAAACGGTCATTCTCATGCGGGAACTCTCCTTTCTGACAGGCTTTGCTATTTCCTTAGTGGACGATGAGGTCATACAGAGCCAGGTGCCCACAACTTTGCAAGTCATTAAAAAAACAAAACCGTGAAAAAAAAAAACAGTGTTTGAATGCACTTATTTCAAACAAATTGGTATTCTGAGCACTTGCTCACGAGGCAACAATTATCAGGTTAACGTGAGGAGGAGGCTTGGAAACGAATACCCGCCAATTATTGTTAGACTCATGGCGCTATGCAATCGTTGTTTTAAAGTAGACAGATGGAATGCTCGAGTGTGCGTGTTAATTGCTACGTGGGGGAATGGCAATTTTCTTGCAGGCATATTTTGCATGCTCACTCTACTGGGATCTGCCACTCCTGAGCATGGACAATATCCATGCCCCTTGGCTAAGGGACTAGTCGTAGCCTACGTTTCTGGTGAACCATTGGTCTCATGAAGGAGCTCCGCTCTTAGGCTTGGCTGAGATGTTTCGCGAACGACCTCGGACGTCTGAGAATCAGGCTACCGTGTAGCATGAAAATTTTGCGGGTTCTAATTTTTGCGAATTTTGCGGATTGACCTCGATCCGCAAAAATTAGTTCCCGCAGAAAAAAAAACCCGCAAAATAAAACGCCGCAAAAATTAACTCCCTTCAGTCAAATTAAAAACTCTGCTTTCAGTGGACTTTTTGTGTATTGTAGGGATAGGCTTTTGTTTTGTTTTACTGTTGTTCAGTCCCTTTGTGCAGTAAGATATTACAGTGATTACCGTATTATTCTCCATTAAATATGTAAGTAGAGTGAACTTTGACTCAACATACCGTAAAATAAAAGTTGAAAATACCATATTAAGGTTTCTTCCACTTAAATATTCTGCTACTTGAACAGAGAATCGTAAAAATTAGCTCCCACCAGAAATTTCAGTCATCTCGAACCGCAAACATTTTTCCCGCAAACCACAAAAAATCGCCAATCTGCAAAATAAAACTCCCGCAAAATTTTCATGCTGCACGGTATAATAAACCATGTTTAATTATTCGGTAGACAGAATAGGACGACGGAACGTTTGTGTGTGACAAACGTGACAGGGCTGATCACTTGCATGTTTCGTATAGACCTTCGCTTAAAATGTCTGTGCTCTAGTCTTTTACAAAGGAAGGTAAAAGTTGGCGGAATTTTTTTCAGACGTACGGTTCGTCTTCTATCCTCTGCTGTCCAATTTGCGTGGGGTAAAACTGTCACATATGTTGCAAGAGGGAAGTTCACTGCTGTAGTAATCGGCTGCCCTTCTGCGTGAAATGTCACACGTTTCTACCCACCAGTACAAAGTATTAGTATGCTGTTTACTTGCTGACAAGGCCAAAATTTTAAGTTCACGTTCCTTTTGTTGACGTTTTCAACAATCAAGGTCACTGAAGGAGAAGGTCTGCGAAGGTCATCGGAGGCCTGGAGACGAATAGCTAACAGTTATATTTAGACTCCGCTTTTAACCGCCTGATTATTTTGTTTCCAAAATGGCTCTTGCTGTCGACCTCTTCGAGATTTTCTTTGCAATTGTTTCTCTTTTGGGTTTGATATTCACGGCAGTTTCCATTTACCTGGTTTACATTCACTGGAAGTTCAGCCATATCCCGGGACCAAAGAGGGACAGTTTTTTCCTTGGTAACGTACCGCTTATTCGCCGAGAGCGAGAAAAGGGAAAAATAATGGGTGAATTGATGCAAGAATTGCATAATATTTACGGCCCAATAGTTTTGATGTGGGGCTTTCACCGGCCTTTCCTTTTCGTTTCTGATCGAGAACTCGCTAAAAAGTGTCTTATTACGCTAAATCTGCCAAAAAATCCCAAGGCTTATGTGAACCTTGGCTATCCATTCGGTCACCGATTGGCAGGCCGCGGTTTGGTAACAGAGACCGATCATGGCGTTTGGCAAAAGCAAAGAGCACTGTTAAATCCGGCGTTCCACCGCCGTTATTTAATGAACTTGATGTCCGCGTTTAACAACAGCTGTGACTTGTTTCTGGCCAAGCTGGATGAGATGGCAGATGGAGAAACTGTTGTAAATATGGCAGAAGAATTTGCACGGGTCACACTGGATGTTATTGGAAAGGTATTCAATTCAACCTCACGTACTCAAGAATATACACTGTAAAAAGCTAAACCCCACCACAGCAGTGGCTGCACTGCTAAGTGCCAGTAAGCCATGTGGCCCAGGGCGGGGGGGAGGGTACTCTGGGATTTCAAGTGACAGGGATGATCGGATAGGGGCAAAAATTGAAACCAAAAAAAATCCCTGGACCAAAATTTAACCCCAAAACAATCCTATGCTGAATTTCCAAGCCACAAAAATTTCCAGAACACAAGTACAATTGCAAAACAAGTTGCTAAAATTTTCTTACCCAAAAAATTCCCAATATCAAAAATTTCAACCCCCCCAAAAATCCTTTGATCATCCCTGTCACTTGAAATCTGGAGTACCCCCCAGGGTCATGTAGCTGCATAGCCCCATAGCCATTTAGCCACATAGCCACCTAGCCAAGTGTATGCCTTGTTCTTTAAGCCCACAGTGGTACTGAAGCCTTATTAAGACACATAGCCACTTAGTCATGTATCTAGGTAGCCTCATAGCTGTATAGCCGCATAGTAATTTATCTGTCTTGTTCTTAATAAGGCCAATGCAGAATTTAAAGCCACATGACCACAGTCCAGCTTTTGGAGTGGTCAGGTATTCTGTAGCCTGCCTTACAGCCGGCCCATGCATCATCCAAATCTTTTGTATGGACTGTCTGCAAATTAGTGAACAAAAGCAGAGTAGCAAGGATATACAGCTGTTTCGAGAAAGGTTGTCAGAAGAAATGCGCCTTCAACAATCCCGAAAGGTAATATGGGATATGATCAATACACTGTTCGTAATGACTGAAGCTGTCGAACCTACTTTTGTTGCTTTTCTTTAGCACTCACAAACATATGTCCGTGGCCTCCTGTATCATTCTTTCAAATTTCTTTGAAGAACAGTGCCCTCAAAGCCACCCACAATACCTTTCGGGATTGTCACGTGTGCTTTTTCCAACAGCCTTTGTTCAAAATTTGAAGAGAAATGCTCATATACAGCTATTTAATAGCTGTATATGAGCATTTCTGACAGGCAGGCCTCTTATGGCAAGGAGCGTTTACGGTAAACAATGAAAGAACAGTTTGAACTAGAAAGTCTTCTTCCGAACAACAACAACAGAGCCATCACTCGGGGGGGGGGGTTGTGGGCAGCTGCCCCCCTGGACCTTTTGAGCCAGAAAAATCAAGTCTGTGGATGTATTTGTTCTGTTTAGACTCAGTAATTTTGATTGTAGTGACTTGCAATAATTGTTTGCCATTTTCAAACTGGAGACATCTTTATAGGTTAGTTAGCCAAATGTCATGCAGTATTGTGAAATGTTTAGTGTACTAGTGCTTGGATATACCTTGTGTTTCAAATTAACAGGACCTTGGAAATAAGCACTTGTAAGCACTGAAAACACATGCCTTTTCACACCTCTTTGAGGTCGATTTTTCGTAGACATATCTCATGACAAGGGCTGAAAATAGCATTTCAGAGCCTCCAAATCTAAAAATATTCTGGAGGAGGATACCCCAGACCCCCCTACAAGGCTCATGCCTTTGGCACTTGCATTAATGCCCCCCTGTTACAAAAAAGCTAGCTACGGCCCTGAACAAAATGCTTTGAGAAAATTCCATCAAGGCCAAAATGTGTTTGTAAATTTGTCGATTGGTTTTCCAGTTTCTTCCAATTGCTGCAAATGCACTGCCACGTATTCTGCAATCTAGCTGACAGCTCTCGCGTTAAAACAAATCAGGAAATCACGATGTTCCCAGACAAAAAACTATACACACATAGCTATTCAGGTATTTTGGAGAACTAACCAGCTTCATAACCTCTAAATGTGCGACTCAAAGCAGCAAAAATAATACATGCTCAGTCAAAGTTTAGAATACTTCATGCACTGCATAATCTGTTCTCTAAGAGAGAAAGGAAGAAAAACCTCTGTTGTTCAGGCTGACTCTAAGACCACGTTTCACGCTATCATGAGCTCATTCTCTCTTGCCATGAGTCAGGCTAGGCCTGTCAACACTTTATTTCAAATCAGACTAAAAACAAACTGTGTAAAAAAATTAGCTATTCAAAAACACCAACATATGTGGTTGCAACTCTGCGAGATTTGACCATGATATTGTGCACTAATTTGCAGATGCTCTTTACAGAAGGTTTTGCGTACATGTGATGCAGGCTAGTATTCTGCCGTTGCTTCCAACTTAACAGTGTATTTTTGTGAGTATGTAGGTTCGCTATATCGAGGTTCCACTGTATATGTCTTGTTCTTCAATAAGCCCAATGCAGCTCTTAAAGCCACATAGCAGTGTAGCCACATAGCCAGTCCAGCCTTTGAGTGGCCAGGTATTCTGCAGTTACTCTAAAGTGGTATTAATGATCCTTTTACAGGTTGCTTTTGACATTGATGTCAACGTTATAAGAGATCCTAACAGTCCATTTCCATCAGCAGTTTCCAAAGGTCTAAAGGGGGCCCAGGAAAGCATACGTACTCCATTTCCCCAGCTGTTCGGGTTGGTATTTCCATCCCAGTCAGGTTTGGCCGAAGCAATAAAATTCATTCGTGAGTTTGCAGGGAATGTTATCAAGGAAAGACAGGAAGCTGTTTTGAGAGGAGATGAAACTCCCAACGATATACTTGCTCACATCTTAAAAGTAGCAGAATCAGAGTCCAGCTTAAGTTTTGAAGATCTGATTGATCAGTTTCTCACATTTTTTGTTGCAGGTAAGACATTTTATCAATTTGGGTGGATTTTTTGTGGAGTTGAACTAATAGGTGGAACCTATTGTTTACATGTGTCTCGGAAAGTTTGATCCTGTCTTGAAAACTTTTGAGGCATCTTTGAAGAGAAGATGACGCCCTATTTTTTTATGTTTCCTCTTATTTTGCCGTCATCTACTTTTTGCTTTGTTTGTTACCCCTATCTTTGTCCTTTTATAGGTCAGGAGACCACTTCAAACCAGTTATCTTTCACTCTTTTTGAAATACTAAAGCACCCCGATGTTGAAAACAGGTATTTATATATACACTAGTGTAGATCAGATTATTAGAAAGACTGGATCAGCATGATCTGAATCTTCTACTAAACATTTCCAATTACATTATAAAACTGTTTGACATACAGATTGATGTTGGCCGGTTGCATTTTTAAAATTCTTGCAAAAAAAATTGTAGCTGTCTTTTGTTTGCTCCTGTCCTTAGAAGTTTGTATGTATCTGACCCTAACAAACATTAATAAGGTTTCTTAGGGTAAGATACCTATAAACTTCTAAGGACAGGAAGACCATTAATGTTGATTGTTTTGCATAGAATTGTTCAAGAAATTGAAACTGTGCTTGGCTCCCGCCAGTTTGTGGAACACAAAGATCTTGGAAACCTTCAGTATCTGGGACAGACACTCAAGGAAGGCCTCCGCCTTCACCCACCTGTCGGGGGGACAACAAGAATCACTACAAAGGAAGAAAACCTTGGAGGATTAACCATACCTGCAGGAACCTCAATCAACGTTAGTTGGTTCATATTGCAGCGTCTTTCAGATGCGTGGTCAGAACCAGAGAAGTTTGATCCTGACAGGTTCTCCCCTGACAAGCCAATTCCACCGTCTGTTTACTATCCATTTTCCGTTGGACCAAGGACCTGCATTGGACAAACCTTTGCTCAGTTTGAGGCACGAGTACTTATGGCTCGATTGCTGCAGGAGTTTGAGTTGACATTGTTACCAGGGCAAAATAAAATGATACATGAAGAAAGGCTGACGCTTAGACCGAAGGGTGGTGTCCTGTGCACCATCAAGAGAAGAGGGCTCAAACAGGAATAGAGGAAATTGTGGTGTCCTGTTTTGGTGGAACACAGGGGACCCAATGAGGAGTAGTAATAATGAGTTGTTCTTGCAATATTCAGACATCAAAAAAGGAGGCACAGAAGTATCTTTTTTTTTTTTTTCGGCCTTTCATTCCTCAGTTTGGTATAAAAAAAATCACAGGGGGGGGGGCCTCCCCTGGATACGCCGCTGATGTATACCCGTTTTCAGACCAAAACGGCGCAAAAGCCCTACCCTTTGGGGCGGCACATACCTATATAGCTTATATAAGGGAGTAACCTCCCCCCCCCCCCCGGGGGATAACTTGTCTGGTCCCTTGTGGCAGATTTAAGAGAGGGGCCTGGGCCCCTACCCTTATTTTAAGACCAAAGTGAAGCCCGAAGGGCCGAAAAAAATGTTTTTGGAGAATGTTTTGTTTTTCTTTTTCTAGAAAAAAAAGGGATATCGGATAAAATCAACTTTCCTTAAAAAAATGTTTGTAGAGTAGATATTGATAGAATTATGATTCATCTGAGTCAATCTTGATACAAAATTGCAGCAATGTTAAAAGATAAAAAATGGTAGCGATGAAATGTGTTCGTTAAGTGCGCAGAAAAGTTATTAGTTGCGAGGTTTCGGTCCGTACTGTAAATTACGGACTATAATCATATCGTATCCAACAAGCGCGAGTGGAATAATTGTTTTATTAAAAATGCTGTCAAAATATCGAGAATTCTTCCCGACTTAGTAAAACAACCGATTTTGAGCTTGTTTTTAATTTTGAGCAGGCGCGTACAGTTACCATATTTGGAGAGTATAGTGTAATGGCTCATATACCACGATGGCCAAGCCAATCAGAGCTCTAGAATTGCATTACCCAATGATTCAGTTTTTAATAAATAGAGGATATTACATGGCAGCGCGGAAATACAAAATTTCTCTTCGAGTGTTGAAAAATTTTTCACGAGTGAGCGCAGCGAACGATTGAAAGATTTCTTAAACACGACAAGGGAAATTTTGTCTCTCTGAAGCGGCCAGGTAATGTTCTATTTATTATATTAACACCAATGAAATACATGTGTCACACCATTTCACCTTAATAGATATGTAGCCGTTTACGTGTGAAGATAGCATGTTATTTTCACATCTGAAAATATCATGTTTTCGCGCGAAAGCTCATCTGGTATTTCATTGGGGTTTATTTAGTAAAAATACCATTTTTAAAAAATACTACGGTGTGCGTACCCTACATAAAACCAGTAATTCATAGTATACCGTTTCGTTTCTGAAGGAAGCAGACAAGTTATGAATGAACAGACACGATTTCTTAGTACTGCGTTTCTGTGTAGCGAATTTAAGTAAAAGAATATTTACTCTGGAACAAATTTTTGTGGGGAAAATATTTCCGGTATCGTTTATTTGCGAGAACTTATTTTTGCGGATCGCTGGAAAAATCGCAAAAATTAGAACCAGCAAACATTTCGTTCTACACGGTAAGTCATGTCACGCTTGTCACACAAGGTTTGAGGTCTTCAATTCCTCTGCAGTCCAATAGCCCACGTTCGATACATGACTTCGAAGCTTTCTGGTAATCTTTCCGGTGGGTTACTCCCACGAATTCTTGGTGGGGATGTGCCGCCCGGTTCTCTAGATTGTGACTGCATTTCAGACCAAAAAAAGTCATTTTCAAGACTCGTTTTTAGACCTGTCCTTTAGACAGACATTATGTTATCGTTACTCAGATTAGAGCGCAAAGAAAAAAAATACTTCAAATCAATTTCGAATTCGCATATTTCTCTTTCTTTCTTACTCATTTGGAATGGAAACGATAATTACGTTCGTACATTCCCGTAGTTCCGACGAAAACCAAACCCGATTCCAGAGCAAAATGGGCAAAGTGTGTACCCGTTTTCAGACCAACACGGTGTAACAACCCTACGTAATATGGCGGCACCTACCTACATAGCTTACACAAGGGAATACCCCACCGGGCATTTTTCCCGGGGGGGTACTCCCATACATTACCTATACGGGTATGTGCCGCCCAACGGGGTCGTCATTTTGAAGCTCCTGATTTAGAACGGGGCATCCATTTCAGAGGCGTTTTCTAGAACGGGGTATAATATTTCGAACGCACGAAAGCTCCAGTTTTGTAAGCAGCCATTTGAAATTATTCAAGGACAGATTGCTTTTAAAAATACGGTTCAATGCGTTAACAAGCAAACTGTTGTACTCTTTGCACCTCAGAACGGAGTATAAGAAATTGGCCCATTTCTAGAACGGGGTATCAGTTTTAGGGCGAATTCTAGAACGGGGTATCAATTTTAGGGGAAACTGTTTCTAGAACGGGGTGCCAATTTGGAGTCCCGGGCGGCACATACCCACCCAAAAAATACCCAAGTGCCCTCCCGGGGCATTTTTCTATATTTGGTGTTGTGTTCTTTGTACTCACTGATCTCTTCTGGGAATTGCGAGACAATGGAGTCGTAACAAAATTGCAATTTTGACCCTAAAGCCTCGGAGTAATGTTAGAATATATTGTAACGTTTTATGTCGTACGTTGAAACGATTTTAAAAGAGAGACGCGAGTTCCTACTTCTAGTAGCCTCTCACGCAGACGTTCTTAGGGGTTCGTCACGCTTTCCTGCCCCACTAAGGTCTGCTGAACCGAAATGAACGCAATTTGCGCCGTGTACGAGCGTAACTTAGGGTGATAAATGGCAGAAAAACTTCGAATACACAGGTCAGATGTGGAGTTCCACAGGGTTTGGTTTTGGGCCTTACCTTATTCACTTTGTTTACGAACGATCTACCCTTGTCGATTACATCTGTAGATACGTTTATGTATGCTGACGACGCTACGGTTTTCTGCATCGACTCCTTGCAAGACGTACCAAATTACGTCACCGGTGAGTTAATATAGTGCACCAGCCGCAAGACGCCGCTTGTGATTTGTTAAACGGTGCACTTAAAAAACTTTTGTTAAAACAACCACCTAACTCCACGTCCTGGCAAATGCGAGGTTATGTTACTCTCCAAAGCTCGGCTTATGGGCCCACTGCCCCCCATTTATAAGGCAAGACAAGGCCAAGACCAGACTTCTGGGTGTTACCGTAGATAAAAATCTGAACTGGATACCTATTCTGCAAGAAATCGTTAACAGTTTCGCAAATAAATTAAGCCTTTTGAAGAAATCAAGGTTTCTACCCAGTCATGTGTGCGAGTCCTTTTATTTGAAGGTTATCCAGCCGTCCAATACGTACGCGATGCCAGAGTGGGGCAGCGTAAGTCAGACGGAGTTATTTAAATCCGTTGGAAAGACAACCCGAAAGACAACACTTCCGTGCTGCCAGGATGGTATGATATGCCTACAGCTGACGTTTTAGCCACCGTTAAGTGGGACACCTTAACACATCGATATAAACTTTCTTTAATTAAGCTTTTTTTACAAAGGTTACTATGTTATCAGTTCCACACGCTTTAGCTGAACAATTGATAATTCACAGCAACAGATCTGTGTCAAGAACGAAGCACGGGTTAATAGCTCCGAGGTTTGCGTCAAATGACGTTAAAAACTCCATTGCCTATAGAGGGGTTGTCCTCTGGAACGCCATAGGTCGCAACCTCGTTCCCAGGGTTCTCTCCTACCCGCCCTACGGAGCGGTAGGAGAGAACCCTGGGAACGAGGTTGGTCGTTCAAATGGTTCTATTTTAGATTGAACAGACATGAAATCTTTACTGAAAAAAGTCGTTAAGTATTGCTCTTTTAGCGATTTTAATTTCAACGTTTTAGCCCCACAAACAGATCTGAGAATTTTCTATATTTCTCATGTGTATTTTATGATTGAACGATTTTATTCCCTACTATTAATAACTTTTAACATTTTATTTTATTTGTAATTTTTGCACACGACCCCACAAGCGTATAGAAATAAAGGTTGTATGTATGCACGTATATAGACTACGAGTAGTACCCCATTTTTCCTGAGGGGTAGAGAGAGCGAAACGCGAGTGCGCGTGAAAATCACCCCGCTGCGTGTCGCCTTTTCTCGCGTGTCGAAACGTTCTCTTCAATACATCCCGCTAAATTTCCAATAAACAAACAGAATCTTTTCATTTCAAAAAGCCGACAAATCGCTTGTCCATGGCGGCTTTTCGCTAAGTGTCGAGTACCGATGCTCTGATTTACGTTGATGTTATCTCCAACAAACAGTCCATTTTTTCCAGTCAAATCAGCACGCCGTCATTCTCAATAAATTGGCTTTCACTAGTCTCCACTGCTCGGTCTTCAATTATACTTTGAAAGAACTCTGATCTCATAAACCTTCGCACAAACACGACTCAAATAAATATCAGTCCAAGGCATTTGTAATCTGCGACCACAAATCAGATGAGACCAGATCTGTGACGCACGTAAACAAAGTATGCCTGGTTTGATTGATGTTTCGAGTGCTAAGTAACAGCACCGCACCAATCAGAAACAGTTTTCCAAAATCGTGGGGTTTGCGGGCAAGCGTTTACTTCTTTTCGCTCCCTCTCCCCTGTCATTCCTTTTCTTTTTGTTTGCTATCGTCTCAACTTTACTGACGAACTCACGCGGAAACGCTTGCTACGCAGGCTAAAAGATTTTTGCTCTGGAGTCAGCGTCTGTGTTTTCGAGGTCTGTATTGGCTCTTTGTATATTTCTCTCTGTAAAGGCTTAGATGTCATTTGCTCATAAAGCCGTTCTTTGCGTGATACAACGGTTGGGTTACCTTGTCAACTTAACAAAAGGCAGAATTTTTTTTCACACCTCGCCGATTTCCGTTCAGCACAATTAACCTCCGAGAGGAAAAGGAAAGCAAAAAAGCTAGGGCAAAAAGAATGGAAGCTAACTGCAAAAGAGTTATTGAAACCATTGCACCTCAGCAAGAATCGCATGATGTTACAGAGCCTATTAGCCCATTATCTCTTCATTATGAAGGAATAAGTGGGTTCCTCAAAACACAAAGGCCATATATCCAATATGCCTTTGAGCAGGGATTGTTCACCAATGAATCACAGGAAATTATCAAGCAATATCTACGCTTCAACTTAAATGAAAATTATGATGATGATGAAAGTGATTGTATCAATGTAAAGTTAATAAAATAAAGTCATAAAATAAAACGCTGATGACATAAATGATGATGATCAAGATGCTCACAGCAGCATTAATGGTGATACTGAAGACAGTGATGGAAAGGATAGCCAAAACTCTAATAACATTAACAACATTATATTATTCATAATTGCAATAAGACTATATAGCATTGTTATTAATTAAAATTAAGTGTTTGTTAAATTCTTGCAATAGTACTTCACAGTTAATATCCATAATGTTCCGTTGTTCTTCTTCTTCTCCTTTTTTTTTTTACCAAATAAAGAACTTAATTTTTCTTCTTTGGGTGAACCTCCACATGATCACGGGCATATATTTGCATGACCCTCCCCGTTTTAAGGTCTTTTAACCGCCCATTTTTCATGACCCCTTCCTTTTCTGAGTCTCAAAAAGTTGTGACCCTCCCTCTGTTTCAACCCCTCTCCTCCCCCCTGCTAATTTTCTGACAAGTCGCTAAGTGGGGCAGGGACGCGTGACGAACCCTTAAGAATGTCTGCGGCGGAGGTTAAATTACTATGACATCAGTAGCCTACGTAACAATTTTCGTTTATGCAAAAAGTTCTAAGTTCACCACGTTCCTTTGGTAGACTACCTTCGCCAACAATCAAGGTCATAGAGGGCGAAGGTCTGCAAAGGTAGACTCCGCTTATGCCCCTGGTATATTTTGTTTCCGAAATGGCTCTTGCTTTCGTCCTCTCCGCGATTTTCATTGCAATTGTTTCTCTTTTGGGTTTGATATTCACGGCATTTTCCATTTACCTGGTTTACATTCACTGGAGGTTCAGCCATATCCCAGGACCAAAGAGGGACAGTTTTTTCCTTGGTAACGTACCGCTTTTTCGCCGAGAGCGAGAAAACGGAAAAATCATGAGTGAATTGATGCAAGAATTGCACAGTATTTACGGTCCAGTAGTTTTGATGTGGGGCTTTCACCGGCCTTTCCTTTCCGTTTCTGATCGAGAACTCGCTAAAAAGTGTCTTATAACACTAAATTTGCCCAAAAATCCAAGGGTTTATGGGAATCTTGGCTATCCATTCGGTCACAGACTTATGGGCCGCAGTTTGGTAACGGAGACCGATCATGGCGTTTGGCAAAAGCAAAGAGCGCTGTTAAATCCGGCGTTCCACCGCCGTTATTTAATGAACTTGATGTCCGCGTTTAACAATAGCTGTGACTTGTTTCTGGCCAAGCTGGATGAGATGGCAGATGGAGAAACTGTTGTAGATATGGCAGAAGAATTTGCCAGGGTCACACTGGATGTTATTGGAACGGCAGGACTTTTCCGCGGGTGGCGGGTGACGGGTGGCGGGTAGCGGGTGGCGGGTAGCGGGTGACGGGTGAAGGGTAGCGGGTGACGGGTGACGGGTGAAGGGTAGCGGGTGGTGGGTAGCGGGTTAAAAATATATATGAAATAAAATATTATAACTCGTTATAGTGTAATTGAAGATATAACTGTATGTTGCAATTTTAAAATAATTTCACCGTTTATGTACTTGTCTTATCTACTTACGCGGACTATTTTCAATTTCTCAAATATGGAAAAAAAAAAGGAGAAATCATGCCTGTGAAAACGGTCATCTCTCCTAGCTCCGCACCGCAAGTGACGTTTCGCCAGGCTACACGCGGTGTGTCAAATGAAAATGGGCTATGTCAAGCAAGACACATGGCACGTGTCGAAGCAAATTTTTTGGTACATGCATCTCTACCATGCCTTGTTAAGTAAGCGGACGTGTGGTTAGAAAGACGTCCGACTTCTTAGTTAGGTATAAGCTTCTGCAATATAACGGGTGTGAAAGATAAATAACTGCAAGAAAGAGACTACATTTACTGCCATATAAAATAACGTGGCAGGTCTATTATGATTATGGGGGTGTGAGGTGGGGGTATGGATATTTTCTGGAGCTACACAATTCAGAAAAAGTGTAATTTCCCTGCACAAAATATTGTTCGATGCTTATTATTAATAATGATTGTTGACAAGTTTGCCACACATACTTGTATATCACGGCACACCTTATGTCTAATAATAACCACACAATTCACTACTGATTGAAGAAATCGTGATGTACAGCGTCGTTTCTTTGTTAATTGTTTTAATTTCTATAAAAGGTAGAAAAGATCTTGTTTGTCTAGTTTGCTTTTTCTTCCACATCAAGACCAAAGATGATTGCACTTCCCCAACTGTTTAGCCGTGTTTATAACAGGCTGCAAGAGACTCGGTCTTTGGTGTCGTAGCTCAGTTTTTGCCCTAGTATGCGGCATGATTGCCATCCTAATAAGTATTTTTAAGTAGTATTTAAAAAATGCAGATCCTTTTTGTATATATATACAACGAGATCAGTTCGCGTCCGAGACGCCACACGCGGCGAAAACGGTCCATGCTGTGTCAAAACTCTGACAAAACCGTCCTTCTCTGGTACGCATTAACATTGACAGCTTTGTTGTTTTAGTCTCAGGAAAATTTCCTTGTTTTCTCGAAATAGACATTTTGTTCATTTTAAACTACAAGTCGGGAACCAAATTGGCAAAGATTTATTCCACATGCAATCCCAACTTATAACAAAAGAACAAACGCACTTGTCAAAAATCTGAGACACTGTTCAAACATGTCGAGAAGAGAATGCGATCTTAGTTATCTGGTCTCAGGATAAATATTACTTTACGCTCAAATATAAATATATATAAATATTACGCTCACATAGACAATGTTATCAAAAAAGGAGCCTCTAGGCTATATCTATTAAGGCAGCTTAAGCGTGCAAAAGGAGATCCTGCGCAGCTACTTTGTTTCTATACTACGTGTATCCGGCCCATGTCTGAATATGCCTGCCAAGTTTTCCACAATGGTCTGCCTGAGTATCTCTCTGAAGAGCTAGAGAAAATTCAGCGCCGTGCACTTAGAATTATTTTCCCAGATTTAGGCTATCAAGAGGCTCTCAAAGAGTGCAATATTTCCACCCTCCATCAACGGCGCCAATGGCTGACAGAGCGCCTATTCAATGAGATTAAGGACAACAGCCTCCACAAATTACATGGCCTTTTGCCGCCACGTAATTTTGTAATGTTTATTATTCAGGTTTCAACCCTCACAATACCCGTCAACCAAGTCACCCGCTACACTGTAAAAAACCCGCTGGGGGTCACCCGCTACCCGCCACCCGTCACCCGGAACTGTCACCCGTCACCCGAATCTTCACCCGTTTGTTTTGAATATTCAGTTCCCCAAAAAAGATACACTGTAAAAAGGCTAAAACTCAAATCTTCAGTTTGTTTTACCCAAAAAATACTTGCCAAAAAAATTTCCAAAATTTTCCTACTCCAAAAAATCCCAAAGTCGAAATTTCAAACCCCCCAAAACCCTTCGATCATCCCTGTCACTTGAAATCTGGAGTACCCCCCCCCCGGGTCATGTAACTGCATAGCCCCATAGCCATGTAGCCACATAGCGACCTAGCCATGTATATGCTCAGTGAAGACACATAGCCACTTAGTTATGTATCCACCTAGTGGCATAGCCCCATAGTATGGCCCCATAGTCATTCTTCTATGTCTCGTTCTTTAATAAGGCCAATGTAGCTCTTTAAGCAATATAGCAGTGTAGCCACATGTATGTTTTGTTCTTCAATAAGGCCAATGCAGCTCTTAAAGCCACATAGCAGTGTAGCCATGTAGCCAGTCCAGCTTTTGGAATGGCCAGGTATTCTGTAGCATGCCTTGCAGCCGGCCCATGCATCATCCAAACCATTTGTATGGACGGTCTGCAAATTAGGTAAACAAAACCTAGTTCTGATATTCAGCAGAGTCGCAAGAATTTACGTGAGCGTTTCTGACAGGCAGGTTTCTTATGGCAAGGAGCGTTTATGGTAAACAATGAAAGAACAGTTCAAACTAGAAAGTCTTCTTCTGAACAACAACAACAAAATGCTTTGAGAGAATTCCGTCAAGGCCAAAATGTGTTTGTAAATTTGCCGACTGGTTCAATCATTGCAAATGCACTGCTTTGCATTCTGCAATCTGGCTGACAGTTTTAGCGTTAAAACAAATCAGGAAATCATGATGTTCCCAGACAAAAAAACTATACACATGTAGCTATTCAGATTCAGGCATTTTGGAGAAAACCAAAGGTACTAACCAGATTCATAACCTCCAAATGTGAGACTCAAAATGGCAATAATAAGGCTTGTTCAGTCAAAGTTTAGAATACTTTATGCACTGCGTAATCTGTGCTCTAAGAGAGAAAGCAAGAATAACCTGACTGTTGTTCAAGCTGACTCTAAGGCCATGTTTCACACTATCATGAGCTCATTCTCTCTTGCCTTTAGCTATGAGTCAGGATAGGCCTGTCAACACTTTATTTGAAATTGGACTAACCACAAACTGTGTAAGAAAAACGCTAATCAAAAACACCAACATATGTCGTTTCAACTCTGTGAGATTTGAACATGATACTGTTCACTAATTTGCAGATACTCTTTACAGAAGGTTTAGAGTACATGTGATGCAGGCTATAAGTATTCTGCAGTTGTAAGTATGTCAGTAGCTCCACACGATCCATGTTAAGCCACATAGCTGCATTAAGTCACATATATGTCCTGTTCTTTAATAAGCCCAATGCATCTCTTTAAGCCACATAGCAGTGTAGCCACATAGCCAGTCCAGCCTTTGAGTGGCCAGGTATTCTGCAGTTACTCTAAAGTGGTATTAATGATCCTTTTACAGGTTGCTTTTGACATCGATGTCAACGTTATAGGAGATCCTAACAGTCCATTTCCATCAGCAGTTTCCAAAGGTCTAAAGGGGGCCCAGGAAAGCATACGTACTCCATTTCCCCAGTTGTTGGGGTTGGTATTTCCGTCCCAGTCAGGTTTGGCCGAAGCAATAAAATTCATTCGTGAGTTTGCAGGGAATGTTATCAAGGAAAGACAGGAAGCTGTTTTGAGAGGAGACGAAACTCCCAACGATATACTTGCTCACATCTTAAAAGTAGCAGAATCAGAGTCCAGCTTAAGTTTTGAAGATCTGATTGATCAGTTTGTGACATTTTTTTTTGCAGGTAAGATATTTCACTTTTGAGTTGAACAAATGGGTGGTACCTAGAAAATTGTTTACATGTATCTCAGAAAGTTTGATCCTGTCATAAAAACTTTTGAGGCATCTTTGAGGAGAAGATGAAGTCCTGTTTTTTTATGTCTCCTTTCATTTTGCAGTCTTTTACTTTTTGCTTTGTTCATTACCCTTATTTTCGTCCTTTTATAGGTCAGGAGACCACTTCAAACCAGTTATCTTTCACTCTTTTTGAAATACTGAAGCACCCCGATGTTGAAAACAGGTATTTATATATACACTAGTGTAGGTCAGATTATTAGAAAGACTGGATCAGCATGATCTGAATCTTCTACTAAACATTTCCAATAATTATTATACTATAAAATTGTTTGACCTACAGATTGATATTGGCTGGTGGTGTTTTTTTAAATTTCTTGCCAAAAAAAATTGTAGCTGTCTTTTGTTTGCTCCTGTCGTTAGCAGTTTGTATGTATCTGACCCTAAGAAACAAGAATGTTTCTTAGGTAAGATACCTATGACCTTCTAAGGACAGGAGCACCACTGATGTTGATTGTTTTGCATAGAATTGTTCAAGAAATTGAAACTGTACTTGGCTCCCGCCAGTTTGTGGAACACAAAGACCTTGGAAACCTTCAGTATCTGGGACAGACACTCAAGGAAGGCCTCCGCCTTCACCCACCTGTCGGGGGGACCACAAGAATCACTACAAAGGAAGAAAACCTTGGAGGATTTACCATACCTGCAGGAACCTCAATCAATGTTAGCTGGTTCATACTGCAGCGTCTTTCAGACGCATGGTCAGAACCAGAGAAGTTTGATCCTGACCGGTTCTCTCCTGAGAAGCAAATTCCACCGTCTGTTTACTATCCATTTTCTGTTGGACCAAGGACCTGTATTGGACAAACCTTTGCTCAGTTTGAGGCGCGAGTGCTTATGGCTCGATTGCTGCAGGAGTTTGAGTTGACACTGTTACCAGGGCAACATAAAATGATACATGAAGAAAGGCTGACGCTTAGACCCAAGGGTGGTGTCCTTTGCACCATCAAGAGAAGAGGGCTCAAACAGGAATAGAGGAAATTGTGGTGTCCTGTTTTTGTGGAACACAGGGGACCCAATGAGGAGTAGTAATACTGAGTTGTTCTTGCAATACTCAGACATCAAAAAAGGAGGCACAGAAGTATCTTTATACTGACTTTGTTGTTTTTTTATAGATATTGTATATAACACTCTTTCAAGGATCACAACTATAACCTCCCGAATATTCATAAATAATTGACAAAATTCAGAGCAAACTTGTGGAAATTAGCCATCATTGTGGTATTTTTGATACAGTTTCAAATCCTGAACAATTTTGATAGTAAAGTTCTCACAAAAATATCAACACTTCTAAAGTTAAATAATGAGTAAATTATAATTGACTAAAACTGCAGTTATTGGTACATACAAGATAGGAGACAGTCGCAAGAGAGAGTTATCTAAAATAATTTTATAGTATATAGTTACTTTAAATTAAGAACTCTAGTTTAAGTTGAAGTGGCACATACACATACTTGAAAATGAGAGAGAAATTTGCCTTGTTCTTAAAAGTCATGTTGTTAGAAAATTATGTAGTGTACTTACACTAATATTTTTAAAATATTAATTCCAGAATTGTTAGGGGTGGATTTCTTCCCCGTCAATAGGGTTTTAATTCTCCTCAAAATCAGTAATGCAGAGTTTTTTTTTTTAATCAAATATTTTTTTTCTTAAATGTGGCATATAAAAATCTGCATTGTAAGTGTTTTTTGTATAAGTTATCGGGGCTAAAAAAAAAACTTGAATTTCAGCTTGTCCTTTTGGCAAGCAGCTCTCACATTTTGCTTGCATGCGACAACTTCTTGCTTGCTTTAGTTAATGATTTTGTTGGTGGATAACTTGCTCGGGGGGTATTCCTGGGAATTCTTGTTGGGGATGTGCCACCCGGTTCTCCAAATGCTGACCCTATTTCAGACCAAAAATATCATTTTCCACACCCTTTTCCAGACCTGGTCTCTAAGAAATTATATCATCATTACTTAGATTTGAACAAATAAAAGATTTCTTAAAATCCACTTCGAATTCATATATTACTCTTTCTTTCTTATTCATATGGGATTGAAACGACAAATACGCATTCGATTCCAGCCCAAAAAGGGGAAAATGTACAGTGGTGGATCAGACGTTCAGTTAAGGGGGGGGGGGGGGATGGAGAGGGGTTACGGTCATCCAGACCCTGAGATAAGTGGGGGCTTGGTCTCAAATAAATTTTTTTCGGCCTTTCGTTCCTCGATTTGGTAAAGAAAATCACGGGGGGGGGCCTCCCCTTGATACGCCACTGATGTATACCCGTTTTCAGACCAAAACAGCGCAAAAACCCTACCCTTTGGGGCGGCACATACCTATATAGCTTATATAAGGGAGTAACCTCCCCCCCCCCGGGGATAACTTGCCTGGTCCCTTGTGGCGGATCTAAGAGAGGGGCCCGGGCTCCTACCCTTATTTTAAGACCAAAGTGAGGGCCGAAGAGCCGAGAAAAATGTTTTTGGAAAATGGTTTGTTTTCTTTTTCAAGAAAAAAAAATATCGGATAAAATCAACTTTCCTTTAAAAAATGTTTGTAGAGTATATATTGACAGAATTATTGATTCAGCTGAGTCATTCTTGATACAAAATTGCAGTAATACTGAAAAGATATAAAATTGTAGCGATGAAATACCGTTAAGTGCGCAGAAAAGTTATTAAGTTATTAGTTGCGAATTTTCGGTCCGTACTGTAAATTACGGACTATAATCATATCATATCCAACAAGCGTGAGTGGAATAATTGTTTTATTAAAAACGCCCACAAAATATCGAGAATTCTTCCCGACTTTGTAAAAACAATCGTTTTTCAGCTTGTTTTTAATTTTGAGCAGGCGCGTACAGTTACCATATTTGGAGAGCATGGTGTAATGGCTCATATACCACAATGGCCAAGCCAATCAGAGCTCTAGAATTGCATTACCCAATGATTCAGTTTTTAATAAATAGAGGACATTACATGGCCGCGCGGAAATACGACATTTCTCTTCGAGGGTTAAAAAATATTTCACGAGTGAGCTCAGCGAACGATTGAAAGATTTCCTAAACACGACAAGAGAAATTTCGTATCTCTGAAGTGGCCACGTAATGTTCTATTTATTATATAGCACCATTTCAACTTACTAGATATGTAGCCATAGCAACAGTGATCTGTTTACGTGGAAGATAGCACGTTATTTTCACGTGAAAATATCATGTTTTCGCGCGAAAGCTCATCTGGTATTTCATTGGTGTTTATATAATAAAAATACATATTTTTTCAAACAATACTACGGTGTGCGTACCCTATATCAAACAAGTAATTCATAGTATACCGTTTTGTTTCAGAACGAAAGAGACAAGTTATAAATGAACAGACACGATTTCTTACTACTGTGTTTCTGTGTAGCGAATTTAAGTAACAGAATATTTACTCTGGAACAAATTTTTGTGGGGAAAAAATTTGCGGTAATGTTTATTTTATTTGCGACAACGTATTTTTGCGGATCGCTGGAAAAATCGCAAAAACTGGTAGAACCCGCAAAAATTTCGTTCTACACGGTAAGTCATGTCACGCTTGTCACACAAGGTTTGAGGTCTTCAGTTCCTCTGCAGTCCAATAGCCCACGTTCGATATATTAAAATTCTCACATGACTTCGAAGCTTTCTGGTCATTTTTGCAGGGGGATACTCCTGGGAATTCTTGGTGGGGATGTGTCGCCCGGTTCTCCAGTTTGTGACCCTATTTCAGACCAAAAAATGTCATTTTCAAGACCCTTTTTCAGACCGGGCCCCTAAAATCCATACCCGTTTTCAGACCTGTCCTTTAGACAGACATTATGTTATCACTGCTTAGTTTACGGTGATAAATGGCAGAAAAACCTTCGAATACGCGGGCCAGATGTGGAGTTCCACAGGGTTTGGTTTTAGGCCCTATCTTGTTCACGTTGTTTACGAACGATCTACCCTAGTCGATTACATCCGTAGATACGTTTATGTATGCTGACGACGCTACGGTTTTCTTCATCGACTCCTCGCAAGACGTACCAAGTGACGTCACCGGTGACTTATAGTGCACCAGCCGCAAGACGCCGCTTGTGATTTGCTAAACGGTGCACTTAAAGAACTTTTGTTAAAACAACCACCTAACTCCACATCCTGGCAAATGCAAGGTGATGTTACTCTCCAAAGCTCGGCTTATGGGCCCGCTGCCCGCCATGGCCCAGACCAGACTTCTGGGTGTAATCGTAGATCAAAATCTGAGCTGGATACCTCATCTGCAAGAAGTCGTTAGGAGTTTCGCAAATAAATTAAGCCTTTTGAAGAAATCAAATCAAGGTTTCTACCCAGTCATGTGTGCGAGTCGTTTTATTTTAAGGTTATCCAGCTGTCCAATAAATCGTTTTCACTGTCACGCAAAGAAAAAACAAATTGGAAACCGTCCAGTGGAAGAAGCCAAGAAAATGAAATGTTATAAACAATTTTCCAAGTCTCAGGTCTTTGTGGCCCACAGTTTTTGAGTTATTTGCCAAAACGTTTCACGCGCCTTTGTAGAGCTTTGTATGGAGACGCCATATTGGTGGACCCTATTGGTCCACCAATATGACCGCTGGAAATCAACAAAACCATCTGGAGTTCACTTTTTCTATAAAAGCTCTTTCTTTTCACTCGAGAACTAGCATACGTACGCATAAACATATCTTCTAATACTTAAAATGGTTATACTGCTGAAAATCAAGAGGACAGGCTTTTTTTCAACGAGACAGCATTCCTATTTTGATGTCACGCACTGTGCGAACTCGGAAGTTCAAATTGTAGTATTTTCGAAATGAAACATGCTACGGGAATGGAAACTTGTACAAAGATTTACTTTTTGTTTATCTTCAAACTAGTGTAAATAAGAATTCGTAAAACCTCGCTATTTTGACTTTACAATTTGATGACGTCACTGTGAAAACCATCTATACGTACTCGATGCCAGTGTGGCAGCGTAAGTCAGACCGAGTTATTCAAATCAAATCACTGGAAAGACAACACCGCCGTCGGCTGCCAGGATCATATGATATGCCAACAGCGGACGTTTTAGCCACCGTTAAGTGGGACACCTTAACACATACATCGATATAAACTTTCTTTAATTAAGCTTTTTTACAAAGGTTACTATGGTATGCTTCCACACGCTTTAGCTGAACAATAGACCTATTCGGCTAACTCAATGTTGTACCCAATTCAAATCTCCCGGGGATAAGATTCTTTGTGTATTGCATTTGCACTATAATGTGGCATTCACATTTAAATGATATGGAAATTCTTGAAACAAAACGTTTTATTCCCAAAGGGTTTGAATTGGGTGCAACATTGAGTTAGCCGAATAGGTTTATTGATAATTCACAGCAATAAATCTGTGTCAAGAACGAAGCACGGGTTAACAGCGCCGAGGTTTGCGTCAAATTACGTCAAAAACTCCATTGCCTATAGAGTGGCTGTCCTCTGGAACGCCATAGGTCGCAACCTCGTTCCCAGGGTTCTCTCCTACCCGCCCTACGGAGCGGTAGGAGAGAACCCTGGGAACGAGGTTGGTCGTTCAAATGGTTCTATTTTAGATTGAACAGACATGAAATCTTTACTGAAAAAAAGTCGTTAAGTATTGCTCTTTTAGCGATTTTAATTTCAACGTTTTAGCCCCACAAACAATTAACAACAGATCTGAGAATTTCTTACATTTCTAATGTGTATTTTATGATTGAACGATTGTATTCCCTGGTATTGATAACTTTTAACATTTTATTTTATTTGTAATTTTTGCACACGACCCCACGAGCGTGTATAAATAAGGGTTGTATGTACGCATGTATATAGACTACGAGTAGTCCCCCATTTTCCTCAGGGATAGTAGAGGGAGCGAAACGCGAGCGCGCGTGAAAATCACCCCGCCGCGTGTCGCCTTTTCTCGCGTATCGAAACGTTCTCTTCGATATATTCCGCTAAATTTCCAATAAACAAAAAGAATCTTTTCATTTCAAACAGCTGACAAATCGCTTGTCCATGGCGGCTTTTCGCGAAGTGTCGAGTACCGATGCTCTGATTTACGTTGATGTTGTCTCCAACAAACAGTCCATTTTTTCCAGTCAGATCCGCACGCCGTCATTCTCAATAAATTGGCTTTCACTAGTCTCCACTGCTCGATCTCCAATTATACGTTGAAAGAGCTCTGGGTCCGGTTGCATAAAACCTGCACTTAAGTGCTCACTTAAGTAGGTCACTTACGAATCCGTTATGGGGACACTTACTGGTGTTGCATGGAACGCACTTAGCACTCTCGTAAGTTTCTGTTTTACGTAGTTACTTACGGGCTCACATAAGGGCACAGAAGGGAGGCACAGGTAACTTTGATGTAGTACTTTATTAGTGACCCACTCTATTTTTTTAAGCTAACCATTGATGGGTGTAAAGAAATTAGCTGGTCGTTTCGAACACTCTTGAGCCTCTGTTAGATGATAAATTCAGCCGGTTGAGATAACGTTTTATATAGAGACAGAAAAAAGTGTGTCATCATTTAACGAAAAAAATTATTCGACCGAGAAGTTTCGACATAATAAAAAATACTTTATTAATGTAATATCAGCACAGGTTCTAAACTACTTGTTAATGTTAAGTTTTCGTCTAAACAACTGCAACTTAAGATCAAGCCGCTGTTCTTTCTTTTTTAGAGTTCTCATTTTGAAATCATGCTCTTCTTTTAAATGCTCTTCATATATGTTCTTAATGTTCCTTTCTCTGTGTCCTTATTCCCTAACAGACTCGGAATCAGGTACAGTTTGGTTATTTTGTTTGTTCTTCCCTTAAACGGCTTTCTTCTTACTCCTTCTCCGAAGTTCTCTAGCCACAGTCTAATTCAACCACCCTATCTGGGCCTACTGGAAGGTACGATGAAGTTGACGATAGGCTGTATTTCTCAATGGCACCACTTGAAGCATCAAGGGTGTGTTCTCTGGCTTGGATATTATCCCCACAGTCTATTTCACCAACTATAGATACGAGGTAGGGATTTTCTTTTCCGAGTATCTCGGTGACTAGCTCGTCACCATCAGTCCACTCTATTGCACCTGCACCCCAGTCTTCTTTCGTTTGGCGTATTTGGCTTTAGTGGCTGACGACAAGTCCTCCCATTTCTTGTTAAGTTGTTCCTTGGTTCTTGGTGGGAACCCGGCGGCTATACTAGCTGTGTGAGCCTCCAACCATGTTTGCATTTTCAATATAAATGTCAGTGTAGGAGATAAAGTACCGAATAGAGTCATCTTTCTCCTTTTTACCTCATGGAGAAAAAAATTGTGATTTTATCCAGCTTAAAATTCGGCGCTTTTTTTCTGGGGTTAGAGCCTTGCTCATCTTCAGAATTCCGTTTCATTGACGTCCTAGAAATGTAGAAATGTTTTTCTAAACGATGATGAAGAAGAAGCTACGGGCGACAGCAGCAATGCTGATGAAGGGTACCAAGACGACATTAATGAAACTGAAGAGGGTCGAAAAAAACGTTAGGAATTTGTTCTTTCGTTTTTTTTTTCTTTTTTCACATTCCTTATAATCTATTGAAGCTGATAACAGTTTTAAATATTTTCAGATCATTCAGCAAAGAAGATTGACATTTTAATATCCTATGAGTGCAACTCATCAAGTCCGTTGACTTTCGTTGAAATACGTTTGCATGCCATCGTTATTTTACAAGAATATTTACTGATAATGTTTGTTTGATGTTCTACTTTTTTTCTGGAAGACGGCTTTGAATAAAGTGAACATCAGAGGTTAACAAAGCGCATTAGAACGGAATTACTTATGGACTGTGCAATAATTATCAGGAGGGGAGGCTAAAAAACTAGAAGTTGTCTAGCAAAAACTTAGATAGTACCCCCCCTCCAAAACAAAAAAAGTTAGTTCTAACCCCCCCTCTGTTATGTTAAAAATAACGTCGCCCCCCCGATCGCACCACACTGGTAAACTCAAAACTGGACTGAGCTGCCATCACAGCTTCAATAATGACAAACGTTATTATGTAACATCTAGTATCGAGAAGGATGTTGATCGCTTGACTGAAGATTTAGACAAAGCATTTGCTAAGTACCGGGGTGCTTACCACATTGGCTCAAAATCTAAAATTTCTGAAGCCAGAAAGAGAAAGGAGCAGAGAAAAAAATCAAAGAACAGGAGATTGAACGCTTCAAATAACAAACGAAAAAGAGCTTGCATTATATTTAGATCCTTGGGAGGAGAGCCTGTTGAACTTTGTTTTGAGCCACATATATATAGAATTCAGAAAATCGATTCAGTCGATGAAGAAACATTACTTTTATTCACAAAAACCGACAAAGCTTGTCTACGAGATCTGTTTGATTCCCATTGTTTTGTGGGGGAAGCTGAAAAACAAGTTCATGATTTTTGCTTTACATAGGATCAGCTCAATTAATTAGAAGACGGGTTAAAATTGATCAGTTGTGAATTTGCTTTTCATTTTGATGGAATATTTTCAATAATCGTTTAACAGCTGTTCGTGTTGATATTTGTTACAGTCTATTATGATGCCTGTATTGAGAATCTTTTATTGCGTTTAATTCTATTTACATTTCCTATAAAACTTAAGGCCCCCCCTCCGTCAAATGAGTGATTTTACTTGGAGCCCCCCTATCTTGGCAGAAATTTTATGTAATGCCCCCCCTCCTGATAATTATTGCACAGTCCCTTAAATAAAAAACTTTTTTTTCACTTCTCAGTGAAAGATCTCGTTAACTTTAGTAGAAATAGTAAGGATACGGGACCTACATAGGTCCCGTAAATTTACTTGCCATTTTTCCCGTAAAAAAAGTTTTATGCAACACCCGCAATTTCTGTTGTATAAATGACACTTAAGTGGATACTTACGAAAATCGTAAGTGCAGTCACTTAAGTGAAATCCCTAAGTGGACCACGTAAGTGATTTAATGCAACTCATTTAAGTTACGAGTACACGTACGTATACCTGTAACTGTTACGGGCGTTTTATGCAACCGGGCCCTGATCTCATAAACCTTCGGACAAACACGACTCAAATAAATATCAGTCCAAGGCATTTGTAATCTGCGACCACAAATCAAATGAGACCAGATCTGTGACGCACGTAAACAAAGTATACCTGGTTTGATTGATGTTTCGAGTGCTAAGTAATTAACACTAACAGCACCGCACCAATCAGAAGCTGCGTTGGTGGGCGAACGCAGTTTTTCAAAATCGTGGGGTTTGTGGGCAAGCGTTTACTTCTTTTCGCTCCCTCTCCCTTGTCATTCCTTTTTTTGCTTTCGTCTCAACTTTACTGACGAACTCGCGCGGAAACGCTTGCTACGCAGGCTAAAAGATTTTTGCTCTGGAGTCTGCGTCTGTGTTTTCGAGGTCTGTGTTGGCTCTTTGTATATTTCTCTCTGTAAAGGCTTAGATGTCATTTGCTCGTAAAGTTGTTCTTTGCGTGATACAACGGTTGGGTTACCTTGCAACTGAACAAAAGGCAGAATTTTTTTTCACACTTCGCCGATAATTAACCTCCGAGATAATTTTTTTCAATGAGATTGTGAGGGTAACCTCTGGTACGAACGCTTGTGTGATAAATGAGTAGTTTGTTCTAAAACTGAAAGGTCTTCACCTTTCATGAGACTTTTCTGATCTTTTCTGGAGCTAAGTCAAGCGCGAAATTTCTCTTGGTCTAGATCTGGAAGTCTGCTGTGATTGGTCTACGTATTTTCCGCTCAAATCAGCAGACGTTTATAAGTGGAGCAGGAACGCGTGACGAACCCCTATTATTAAAGAATGTCTGCGGGGGAGGCTAAATTGCGTAAATTGCCTACTATGACATCAGTAGCCTGGGCGCGTAGTACGCGTTTTCGTTCAGGCAAAAGATTCAAAGTTGACGTTCCTTTGGTTGACTTCGTCAACAATCAGGGTCATAGAGGGCGAAGGTCTGCAAAGGTAGACTCCGCTTATGCCCCTGGTATATTTTGTTTCCGAAATGGCTCTTGCTTTCGTCCTCTCCGCGATTTTCATTGCAATTGTTTCTCTTTTGGGTTTGATATTCACGGCATTTTTCATTTACCTGGTTTACATTCACTGGAAGTTCAGCCATATCCCAGGACCAAAGAGGGACAGTTTTTTCTTTGGTAACGTACCCCTTATTCGCCGAGAGCGAGAAAACGGGAAAAATAATGGGTGAATTGATGCAAGAATTGCACATTATTTACGGTCCAGTAGTTTTGATGTGGGGCTTTCACCGGCCTTTCCTTTTCGTTTCTGATCGAGAACTCGCTGAAAAGTGTCTTATAACACTAAATTTGCCCCAAAATCCAAGGGTTTATGGGAATCTTGGCTATCCATTCGGTCACAGACTTATGGGCCGCAGTTTGGTAACGGAGACCGATCATGGTGTTTGGCAAAAGCAAAGAGCGCTGTTAAATCCGGCGTTCCACCGCCGTTATTTAATGAACTTGATGTCCGCGTTTAACAATAGCTGTGACTTGTTTCTGGCCAAGCTGGATGAGATGGCAGATGGAAAAACTGTTGTAAATATGGCAGAAGAATTTTCCAGGGTCAGACTGGATGTTATTGGAAAGGTATTCAGTTCAACCTCACATACTCAAGAAGATACTATGTAAAAAGGCTGGGTGTATGCGGGAACTGTCACGAATCTTCAGTTTGTTTTGAATACCCCCAAAAATCCCTACTTAAATCAAGCTACCCAAAAAAATACTTGCCAAAATTTTCCTACCCCCAAAAATCCCAAAGTCGAAATTTCAAACCCCCAAAAACCCTTCAATCATCCCTGTCCCTTGAAATCTGGAGTACCCCCCCCCCCCGGGTCATGTAAATGCATAGCCCCATAGCCATGTATATGCCTTGTTCTTTAAGGTGACTCGACCCAGTTTTTTTTGGAGGGATACCATCCTACTTTGAAGCTCTCTGGCATCCCACCTTTACTTTTATCGTAAGTCTAACACATAGAATGAATAACATATAGATCAATCTACAATATAACATAAAATTTTTGGCGATCGGAGTAAATGTCACGTGGTTATAATGCCACGCCCCTTTGAGGTCTGAGTCGAAAATCTACTGTTACCGGCATTTTTTCGTGAAAATCTCTCGGCTACACATAGTGCGCATTAGTGCCTTGCACTGAACAGAGTTTCACCAAAATCGCAAAGACCCAATTCGAGAAATTCAGCGGTTTCCAAATTTAGGTCATAATTTATGCGAAAATGATAAGCAAACTTTACACGGATTATATCTAATAAACTATGAGATTCATCTCTTTATTTTGGGCATCGTTATAACAGATGGGTCCTTGCAAGTCAGCAAAAAGCTTTATGGCCTTGTAAATGCGCGCAATTTCGAGCAAAGCAAACATATAGAAATTATAGTTTTCGCTATTTGTTGACGTTTGTCAGCGTTTAAGAGTCTTTCTCACGAAAAAAGCATTTTATTAAAAATTCGTATTTTTTTTCCTTCAAATTTTTTCAGGGCCACAATTGATTAACTAACTACCCGGACTCTGAATTTCATGGTCATTGAAAAACTGTGACATTATCTTCTATAAGCCCAAACTTGAGTAAACATTGAAGATTTTTAGCGTTTTGGCTGAGTTTGTGCTTTGGGAGTGCGTGTGTGTTGTTTTAATGAATAAGAAGCTATAATAGAATAAGGGCCATAACTAGTTTTACTATAATGTGCCCTTCCTCCATTCTATTTTTTTTCTTATGTACGCGTAGTTTAAACAACCTTGTACTAATTAATGTACAACTAATGTATTACTATATAGGATGGCGTAAAAATAAAATACAAATACAAAGCGGTTATTCTAACTCGCTTTATCAAAATGTAGTAGCTTGTAGTTGAACTCTCCTGAAGTTCAAGTCTTGAAGTGTCCACCGCTAAAGAGGTGATTAAAACGTGTGATGCACGTACACTGAAGTTTCAAGTTTGTCTTGTGTTTTAACAGCCCTATTCCCACCACTTTTGATCACTGAGATGTTATCCCTTATCCTCTATCCATTCAACTGCATTTAAAGTTTGCGTATTTGACTGTATCTTTCACTTTCCATTCACCTGGGTGTCTGGGCTGACACCGAACCCTGGGGTTCATAATAGCTCATAATCGAAAAATGAGCCTTCAGAAATTCCCAAGGATGCAGTACAAACAGTGTACAAACCAAAAAGGATAAGATGAGTACCATAACTATATAAGCTAGTATAATACAAGTAAACTAATACTTACGTACTTCACACTACGGCTTGCCATGATACCCAACGTGGTCGGAAAGCGAAGTATACATGTAATTAAAAGTGGTCTAATTTGTAAAACAACAACTTTGCACGTGCATCACGTGCCGTCACTGCACGACTATGCTACGACGTGAAAATGCCTAATTTCATGTTTTATGGAGAACGTAAACAAGCAACGAAGAATTTTTTCTCTCTTCCTGAACTTGGATATTTTTCTTAGGCTCATATGTTCACGCTGTACTGGATAACTTCTGCGCCGCCTCGAAAATAATACAAGATAGGGCTCTGTTCACACTGACAATGTTTGTGGCCGCGCGATTTCTGTGACGAAGCGAATTAAGTCGCTAAAGCGAAGAGTCGCACAACGGATAGGTGTTCACGCTATGCTGGATAGCTTTAAAGCCTTAAAAAATCAACTACAGGAAATTTGACTTATTTTTGAGAAAGTAATCGAGTTGGAATGATCGCGAAAAAGATTAAAAGAACGCGAACAATTTTAATCAAAAAGCTGGTTGTTCACCGCTCGCCGCTGCCGTGGTACCTTGAGGCTTTTACGAGTGGCGGAAAAATATAACTTCCGGACACCCAACTAGACGCTTTATTCCCTAATAATTCACCATAGGCCGCATCGAAAAACATCCGTAATGTTCTTTTAAGCTGAAGTGTTCCAGTGTCCTTTGCTCCCCACAAACCTTAAGCCTCGCGCAAACGGACGCAACATTGTTGCCCAACAACTCTCAACATTTTTGGATGCTACGTCTAAGTCCGTTTGTACGTTGTATGTTGTTGCGTGTTGTTGGGAGTTGTTGTGCAAAGCTTGAAACCGCAGTCAAACTTTTAGCTTCGTGCAAACGGACGCAACAACTCCCAACAATGTTAGGAGTTGTTGGTCAACAATTTTGCGTCCGTTTCCACGGGGCTAAAAGCTTATACTTTATAAGCTTCTTAGTCAATACAGTGCTTCTTAACTCCTTTGTGTCTGCGTTCTCCAATTCAGCCTTTCCATTATTCCAAGAATCAAGCTTTATCCTTTTTTACCTGTAGGCCACATCATGTAGAAATTCATTGGCCAATCTAACACCGAATAAACCTCTGTCCACTGGGTATTTGCAGAAACTCATCAAGGGCTGAAAACACCTTATGAGTTTCTGGTATTGGGTAACAAAACAGGGGCACCCAACGAGGATATAGTTCATTGTTGAACGTATTTTAGTATTCAAACGGTAGATATAGGCACATTTCTATCCCCTAAAAACTTTTCATCTGTTCGGATTTCCTAGCTGAAAGTCTAGTGATCCGAAAATTATAGGGATAAAAACTTACCTTCTCGAAAATTTCAGCCAGGAAAAGACTCCCGAAAATTCTAGGTGGCCTTTTTTAGGGTCAAAATCCGTTAAAAATGGGTAATCCTAGGAGAGGCAGGCAAGCAAGAAATTTTACAACAAATGCTCCGAAAATTCTAGACCTCAAATCGTCTTCCGAACAGATATTTTCCCGAAAATTGCCGTTGGGTGCCCCTGACAAAAGTTGTATCCTAATACTTTCAATTCAGTCATAGCATTATCCACCTTTTGAACAACTGGGGCCTGTCGCCCAAAAATGAAAGACCGAGCCATGCCCAAATTGCCTCTTTTACTTGTATAATCCTAACCCCGCTGGGATCACCACCACCCCCACCCCCATCTCGGTTGAATGACATTTACCTATACGGGAGTTAGAAATATAAATTGTCAATAAATAACTTATAGAGTGATTTTACTTAACCCGTGAAATAGGTAGTAGAATACTATGCACTATTATGCAGTAATTCTATTGTCTTCTTTTGTTTACTGGTAGCTATTTTGCACTAGTTGTTATTGTCTGTTTCACGGTTCAAGTAAAATCACCCCCAAAAATTGAAAAATGCAAACGTCATTTATCCAATGAGTCTTGTTTTCATTTTATTCACAAAACTTGTCATCGTTGGTTTAAAATGACAGACAAACTGGCGATGAAACTAAATTTGATCTAAGCATATATTAATACTCTTTGTACAGAGAGAACAGCTGCGAAGTCAACTCGGGAAATTGTTTTGTTTTGCTTTGTTTTTTTCTCAATTATTTATCATTATCGAGACCAATCATCAAAAGGGCAGGAAGGATTTACCATTTTCAAGAAAAAACCGGGAAAACTTCCCTTGAAACATAAACAGTTCTTCCAGTGGAAAAGATTCCGAAAAAAAAGAATAAAATCTTGCTTTCCTAGAGATCCAGTGGAGCTAAGCGGGACGAATATTTATCAGCAAATTTGCAATCTTTCAGCTTTTCTTCCTTTTTCGTCTGAATTAAGATTTTACCTAGCTGCAAGGATTCGGTGCTACACGCCTGATAGACTAAGTAACGAATTCAGACCTTTAGATTGCAGGGGGGGGGGGGGCAGTCTGTAAAAAAGGTTTTTTTTCGGCCCTTCGGGCCTCAATTTGGTCTAACAATAAGGGGGGCCGGGCCCCTACCCTAGATCCGCCACTGAGTAATTAGGACAGAATCCGTCAGGAAATTTGTTAATTTTAATTTTCAGTGGACAAAAACCTTGTACCAGATTAATTTAAAGAAATATTGCATTCCTTTTTACATTTTTCAAGGGCTAAAGATGTAATTAGTCATCTGTAATAACACCAACAAAAATTCTCACGGGGGTCCGTGAAAATGAATGTCAAGTCTCACAAGAATTGTGAAAACACTGGTAAAATTCTTAAAAATTTGTGAAATTTGACATTTTTTTTCTCAGGCTCCCTAATAAATTTTCTTTGGTGTTATTACAGATGACTAATTACATTTTTAGCCCTTGAAAAATGTGAAAAATAATGCGACATTGTTTAAATTATTCTGGTACAAGGTTTTTGTCCACTGAAAATTGAAATTAATCAATTTTCTTGGGGAATCCGCCTTAAGTTACTTGTGTTGTATGTAATCTAGCCTACGTGTAAACTCGCCATTTCGAGTGGCGAACGAAGAGAGCCAGGAGAGAACGTTTACGCGTGAGGGGAAGCCGCGAATTCGTCGAGCACTTTAGAAACGAGAGGGGGACTGGAACACCGCTGTTTCTGGGATGGTTACTGGGGCCGCGCTGGTCAGCTATTGGCCAATTTTTTCCTGTTGTCCCTAGCAACAGCCCAGAAGTCTTTGCCAAAATTAACTCGGCCCAGTTTTCTTCTCGTTCGCGTGTCCTTTTGCGTGTCGCCTGCGCGTGAACTCTCTCGATGTTCTCAAACTAGAGAGATGTTTCTAGGTTAATATGTACACAGATGTCCTGTTCTTCGCGTTTTACGCTGCGGTTACAGAACTTTTCTTGACAGCGAGTACGATAAGGACCACACCCGCCATGAGCAAGATTCCTCCAATCACAGGCAAGGCCACGAGCAAGCCGCAGGACAGTTGTAGGCTTCCGAACAGCTACAAAATGGAAAAGAAAAGAAAAGAAAGAAGGATAGCATGTGATGGGCTTGGAATAGATTTCAGAAAAATTCTGAAATCGATAACTAAGGGGTTAAATTTCTTTTTTTTGTCTGTAAGGTTATCTACCACATGCCACGAAAACTAACCCTTAGTTTTCGAACTCACAATTTTTCTAAAAAGCTATTCCAGCTCAGCTAAGCACATTTAACCCCGTTAAAAATTGTATTGTATTGTATTGTATTGTATTCAGTATTGTGTTTAATGTCTTCACATTATTTTAAGAAAAAAATGAAATGAAGACACATTTTCTGTTCCAAATTGCATGGCCTCGTGACGCTGATGTAAAGGCAAATCTTTTAACCATGGTAACAAAATGTAACAATTCGTATACTTACTCATTTCAGGAATAAACAATACTTTGTACTAAAACCTGTTTTTTTTGTTTTGCCAGTTACCAAATAAATGAGTTTATTTGGAACCAAATAAAAATTTTTATGTCTCCCCTTCCAATTTCTTCAATGCATGGATTTTGGGAGGGGTGGGGTCGATTGCGGCTTCAAAGGCTTAGAGGCTCTCGAATGTGAACTTTGAATTATCTTACAATGGTTTACGATCGCATGAAAATCACAAGACCAAAAGTAAAATTACTTTTGAGTAATAATCACGAGCTCCTATCGTAAGGCCACTCAAAGTAAATCTACTTAGCCTCGATCTCATTATCTCGCGGAGACCCTTTATAAGAGGGTGTAACCTTTTGTTAATCCTCTCGGTCTGAAAGCTGACATCAAGCCGAATCTTCGATAGCTGACCCGCTTATCCTTTGAACAAGCAATCGACCCGCCTCCTCCCCAATCTTCCACCTTTTTTACTTGCTTTAGGTATTTCTTGTAGTTTAGTTGCCTTTTTCTTCTGTCCCTCACCTTTGCTAGACCTATAAATTCGTAACATTATTTCATATTTTAACATTGATAAGATGATTTTACAGATTTGAATAAAACCGGCCATTAACTTGGCCATGTTTTTAATCCCAGACCATAGTCTCGGTTTTCTTTGTTTCCTAAGTTAGGCGTCTAGCAAACAAAGCTTGGCTGTTGGCAGTAAAGGGGGGTTTAAAGTTAGTGTTTCAGTAAACCGGGGAGGAGACATAAAATACTTTAAACTGAATTTAATTTTTGTAGTGGTTTTTGAGGGTAATTATTGTATTGTTTTGCTAATACAGTAGTTATAAAAATAGTTGTTGTTTGTTAAGTGTTTACCTTAGAACGGAAAGTTTCAGCCGTTTCTTCATCAATGCCTCCCGACAGTTCTGACCACCAAATAGGAAAAAGTTTGTTCAGGAACGTGACATTGAGCTGTGGTTGGTAATCAGTGTGTATTGATGTGTTTAGAATCATACCATTTAGTTGAAGGCGAAGTTTAAGATCCATTGCAGACCCCGATATTGGCTCTATACTTAGCTACAAGGAAAAACATGAGCACAAAATAGGTGAAAGTTTGCTAAAATAATGTTTCCCTATTATAAGGGATCATGAAACTTAAGATCCGACCACGGCGACCGCAACAAGAACGTCAACAAAGCAATAGGTCTGATAAACAAAACACTGACAACACTACACTTGACAAACTAAGAGGGTTGGAGTAATAACGAAGAAGATTAAAACAACTCAAGTGAAGGGAATGACATAGGTTAATTACCTGCCCCGAATATTTCAGTCCAATAATCCAGATATTTTTTGTGCAATTCACACACAGACACACAGACACACAAAATTACCACTAAAGATTCTGATACTTACGAATGATTCGTGCTTCGTTTCTTCTGGAGCTGGGAGATCCAATTCCTCATGTAACGAGTCGCTATGAAGAAACCTCGGAAGGCTGAAGAAAAGGGGTCCACCCAAGACCTTACGCACGTCAAATACCCCTTTAGTAAACACAGTCACGTTATTAACATCAAGAGCAGACTTATCCAGGGTGTATCGGTGCATTGGAATGCCGTGTAGTTCCACGTCTTGGGTGTGGCTGACGTTGACAGCAAACGAAAAATCTGTTAGGAACAGCTCGTATCTTGGTTCCTGACGACTGTATCCCGTCTTACACGGTTCCAGACTCTTTTGACCTGGAAATTGTATGTAGTAGCCACGTACTTTTAACTGATCGTCGGTGGCGTTCGGGTAAAGACTCGAATCGATTTGTGTTTTACCATCAAAAGCTAAAAACGAAAGGAGAGGACAACTCTTTTAAGTATATATATATATTTCCCGTTTTATTAGGACTTTCCTTCTTGAACTGCTGAACTGCTTTTCAATGGACAAAAGAACATTTTATGAAGTCAACAGAGATCGCTGATATATCGATACCTATTGTACATATATAGCTGATTCATTAAAGGTTGCTTTGAGAACAATAATAATAAACAATTATTATTATTATTATTATTTGAGCATTGGGCATTTGGCATGGGCATACAGAACAATGCAATGATTTGCCTGAATGACCACCAAACAACAGCTTCCTAGTGCCCACTAATTCTAAATGCCAAAAGCAACTTTCGTTGAATCAGCCATATAAGCCATCAAGATCTTTTCGTCGTCGCCCCTTGCGGTTTACCACCTGAATAAAATGTCAAATTAGGCAATTTCACGTCGTAGTCTTTCAAAAACGGCAAAGAAACGTACAAAAAGAGTGTGATGCACGTGCAAAGTTGTTGTTTTGCCCTCTGAAACCCATTGCTTTTTTTGACGTTCTCGCTGTCATCTCGTCGTCGGATCGTAAAGTCCCTACTGTAATGAACTGTAAGTTTCTATGTCTCTAAACCCATTGTGGCAGTAACACTTTCAGTGGTGGTGGTGGTACTTTTGGGATAGACAGGGAGGTCTAAACTTCCTGCATTCCGTAACTAGCATTCCCGGCTCCCGACCCGGCCCTTTTCATTGACTTCCTCTTTGTAGGGCTTTTTCGATTGCGAAATGTTAAGCATTGTTGCGTAATTTCCCCCATATTTTTCTCCCTTTTCCCACCGTTTTAGAGCTATACCTCCCGCTCTCTCCCTTTCCTGTCCCGTCTCAGTCCCGTATCCCTCGCCCCTTATACTGCCGGTCTCCCACCCCTCCCTCTTTTCCCCCACCCTTTACCTGCGTAAGTGAAACGCTGCTCTGTTGATTCACACGTGTAGAAGGTCGAGTTTTTCCCACGAGCCTTCGCCTCTGTTTCGTTGTTATACGAAGTTACGGGACCAGGTACTGGGATCACGCTTGGAACAAATGGTGGAGGAAGAGGCAGCCTGTCCATTGAATATCCCAGTATTATTTCACTTTGGTTCCGCGTTGTCGTGAGACCATAATTATTGTTCTCCAAATATTGTAGAACAAACCTAGGTAGCGGTCCTGCGATGAATGCGGCAACAGCAAGTATGGCTGCTGAGTTATTTGTCGTGTTGTAACATGATGATGCCTTCGGACACAGAAAACTTTGAATCCATGGAGCAATAGGTAATTTTACATTCGAGGGTACATTAGGATCGGCATAAATTCCAAGATTAATAGCTAGCCCACAGACTCGAGAAGGCGGATTGGTTTTGTTTGTACACCGTGCTAGAAGGGAAGTATTTGTAAACGGTAAAAATGTCGAATCCGTGAGCGCTCCGTAAAGACCGCTCATTTCTTGAAGAGAGTAATTTCGTTTAAGATGTCCGAAGGCAGCATTTTGCAAGGGATTAGGATGATTAGAATTTATCCAGGAACCAAACGCCAGAGTTGCAGTGGAAGGGAATTCTAATTGATCGGTCTGGGACTTTCCCATCAAAAGCAATGTGTTGTTTCTGTTTCTGGTTTTACCATCCAAAGCGTGAAATACCAAGTTCAATATGAGTGGTATAAACGCCGTCCCAAAGTCCTTCGCCGATTTAACTTTTGCCATGAGCCCAAGGTAAGCAGCATTTAGTACGGTCAACTGTAAAGAAAAATAGCGACCATTCTTAGTTTATAATTAAAGATGTTTATATTTCAGGACCACAGAATTAGCCACATATAAAAACACAAGGTAAAGCTTGCTTAAAATCTTTATAGAGGAATCTCTTAGATTTCAACATTTTCGTTTATGACTGGTTTTCATTATTTCCTGGTTAAGCCTCGTTTGATTTTAACGTAACATACCTGGTCATTTTCGTTGCACTTCGGGCATTCTTTGGCTGTTAATGTTTTGTTGAATTTGGCCTTGTCAAAGGTCTTGCTTGTTACTCGATCGTTTTCAAATTTGACATCAACCTTCACTGATTCTGTTGTGTAAATGTAAGGACCTTTCTCCTCGAGCTGGTAAATAACCAGATATCTTAAACTTATAAAGATGTTAGTGGAAATAAAAATTAGTTAATTAATTAATCAATTAAACATGGTTCATTTGATAATTTGGTTTTCCTCTCTTCCCTTCATTTTCAACCTTGTTACAGTGTTCTCTCCTTCTCGTCGATACGGAGCGAGTAGGAGAGAAACTTGGAAACGAGTGTGCTTTATTCTTCCCATGAATAGTCGACGAGTGTGGGCAAGTCTATCACAAAGATCAAAAACTGTTTTGAGAGCACCTATCTTATTAAAACGTTATAAACGTACACGACAAAATCTGACGGAAATAGTTGGGTAGGGGGGTGCAGTCCTGGTTTTGCGGAAACTGTTGTTGAATTGGCTTGTAGGAAGGGGAACACCAAAGCACACTACTGCCAAAATATCTTTGGGATAAATTAGATTTGTGTTTCTTTCATGTTTTATACTTCTACATGAGAAATTTCTGCAATTTGATTGGCTTAGAGCAGTGGTATTTCAGCCTAATTTGAAATACCTACATGTGGAAATTAAAAAAAAAAAAATTAGTAGTATCAACAAATAATAGCATGATTTGTACGTGACATTTCAAAATTGTCTCAAATTTCACTCGCTTAACGGATCGTAAAATTACGTATAACAATTTGGAAATATCACTCGTAGTATTTGTGCCAAATATCACTACTAATCATGCTGTTACCTATACTCATCCTACTTTAACCGAACCTTTCAATCTCCTGCTAACCGCTGGATGAGGTAGGGGACTAGGTAAGGAAAAATCCCTCTGGCACCTTTCCTGCTAGCAGAGGTCTTTTTTCACGGCAAGAATAATAGGAAAGGAAGAGACCTCTGCCGGCCTCCGACGCGTTCTTTCACGTAGCCGGCGACTAGATTTGTGGCCGAAACTTAATGGTTTTCAAAACCAGTTTCGTTTTAAAATGTGGAGTGCGCGAGCCCCGTAGAGACACACACGCCGGAAATTTCTGAGCCCACAGTTATTATCGCGCAAGCCGGTTCTGTGAGTTTTGTGAAACTGTGAAAGGTTTGAACCCAGGAGTCATTTCAAAAGTAGGTTGAGTTTGATCGTCTGGGTGAACGTAGTCCTGAATAGGACTGTTGTTGATGACAGTGCAGTTACAACCAGTGTGGTAGTCATCTTCAGAGTCAAAGTGAGTTGCATCACGTCAGTTGATGGTATTATACTCTGGTTATTGATATGATTGTTCAATTGCGTCGCGATGTTATTGGTCGTCTGTCAGTTAAGCCGTGATGTTATTGGCTATGAAGACTCGTAATCAGTAATTGGTGCGTTTCGATCCGTCTATTGTCACAGTTAAACAGTTGTCTATTGTTAGTCAAATTGTCAGTTCTCCAGTCGTTCTCTCGTAGTTAGTTTTGATTGATCTCGTCAACAAGTCCTTGTACGGCGCTGGTAACTGTTGGCTACGATTCAGTGGCGTTTGTTCTAAGTGAGTAAACCAGCTTTCTAAAGTAAGACATTGGTAGTAGTCTGTAGAATACGTTATACATGTCGCAGAGTCCCAGTCAATTTGATGTTTCGTCTGTAAATGGTGCTCAGCAATGTGATTGTTGACGTCGCCATTCCTCGTCGCTCGTTTGTGTTCGGTCAGTCGCGTGCTTAGGTTTCTGCCGGTTTCACCAATGTAAGAAGCCTGGCAGTCGCAGCATTTGATCAGTAACTAGAGTACAATACCATCAACTGACGTGATACAACTTACTTTGACTCTGAAGATGACTACCGCAGAGGTTGTCGAAACGTCAGTCACTGTCAACAACAACAGTCCTATTCAGGACTACGTTCATCCTGACGATCAAACTCAACCTAGTTCTGTATGTTTTGTCGCACGTGACTAAAACATTACTGGTTGTCAAGGAAACGCCAGTGCATGGGTCATAGAAAACGTATCGGAGGCCGGCAGAGGTCTCTCTTTTCCCTCTCCATCTTTTCTTGCCCCGAGAGACTTCTGCTAGCAGGTAATCTGGAACCCACCCAGGGTAGATAAACCGTAACAGTGCCAGGAATTCGCAACCCGGAGCGAGAAACTTCCACGCGCTATTGTCACGGCATTTTCACGGACCAGTTTATTTTTAGAACGGTTTTGGCGCGAATTTTGAGTATCGTTTAAATTCCACAAGCCAGTCAGCAAAACCTACGGACCTAAAAATGATATTTTTTGCCTTTTAATAACGTTTAGTTTTCCTTTTTGATATCTTACACTACGAATGCGCTCATAGACATGGTGGAGATTCTATTTTTGCAGGAAAAAGTGCCCTAAAATGTGTCTAAAAATAAACTGGTCCGTAAAAACGCCGTGACATAGGCCTAGTATGTGAGTTGCTCGCTCCGAGTTATGGGCTCCTGACAGTGCTCGTTAAAAATGCAACATATATAGCTCCAATGGCAATTGTGTCATTTCACTCATAACAATTACGTCCACTTTACCTTTGGTTTTTCTTGTCTGTAGAGAAATCCTTCTTTGTTTGTAATGTTCCAGATGTAGACTCTGTTCGTAAAGTAAGTGGGCCCTTTCTGGAAATAAAAAATAGTAATTGTCATCAATCAAAATTAGTTGTGTTTATCACACCTTTCCCAGCTCGCAAGGCCTTCGTAATAATGTCGACTCTCCCCCCTCCCCTCCCCTACATGCACTTTAACAATCAGTTGGATTATATTCCTCAAAATGCATTACAGTAGTGGTCACTAGCCTGTAAGTTTAAGAGAAAATCAAACCTCTTCTTAAACTTATAATTCATAAAAGAAGGAAAACTGAATATCGGATAAACATAATAACCATAAAATTTTGCCAACTTCAGATTTGAATCTTACTAAAAAGTCATTGCTCCCTTGAGAAGCTGTATCAAACACTCGATACATGTTTCATTAGATATCTAGGCAACTTTAACTTGAAGACGGTTTTAGAAAACACCTGACTGTGCCTCGTTTTTCCAAGCCAGGTCGGAAAGCTGTTTTGTGTTTGTCGCGTTTAGATTCAAGAATAAAGTTTCAAAAATTTTGGCAATAGACCTATTTGGCTAACTTAATGTTGTACCTGTTGTGATTCAATTTTATCCTTGGTTCAAATTTTCTTTTCTTTTGTTTTTGGGTATGGTAATGTATGATAATGACTTTGAAACAAACGAACATAAATTTAAACCAAGGATAAAATTGAACCACAACATTCCCAATTCAAACCCTTTGGGAAAAAACCGTTTTGTTTCGGGAATTTCCATATCATTTAAGTGTGAATGCCACATTATAATGCAAATACAATACACAAAGAATCTTAGCCCCGGGAGATTTGAATTGGGTACAACACTGAGTTAGCCGAATAGGTCTATGATACAATGGAACTATCAGTTTTACAAAGCAAAATTCGGTGGTTCTAGTCTGCCTTCGGGCAGGAAAAGTTTCTGGGCCTTTCGAGAAAGGTGGTCTTGGAAACTATACAAAAATCCCCCGAATGCTGGGTGAATAGTGATCACCAAGACGTGGAGCGCTGAGGTATATGTACTTGAACATACTTAGCCTAAATTGGCGATAAGTACCCCAAAATACAAGAACCTATTTTGCCAGATCTCAAATAAAGGAGGTTCTTATTCGTGGGCGTGTACTGTACCAACCTCGTTCCCAGGGTTCTCTCCTACCCGCCCTACGGAGCGGGGAGGGAGACCCGTCTCTTTCTCTCTCGCTCCGTAGGGCGGGTAGGAGAGAAATTGGTACTGTACCACATACATTTTACTCACCCATCGTTCATACCCGGCGCTGTCCTTACTGTTCACGCACGTCGTTTTCTCTACTTCTTTAAACGCAATACTTGGTAACAGCAGTCCTATGATGATGCCTATGGCTATTAATACAATACCAATGACAAGCAAAGTAATGCCAACCACCTTTTTATTACACATATTATGAACTGGCCCAGCTGCAGTACTTCTGAAACAAAGTAAAAATATACCAATGTTACACTAAACAGATTCCTTGACATACCCATACAAATATTTAGAATATTTAAAAATTATTGAATGAGGCTGAGTAGGATCCGGGGGGGAGACTCCGCATATGAAAGTGGTGGGGATGCTCGTCGTCTCGCGTAGGGGTGTAAATTTCGGATTTTGGTCTCATTTAAGGTGTTCTGGGCAAAACGCCATCATATTTAGCCGTGAAGGTCTCGTTTAGGGTTGCACGCGAAAAAATATAAAAATACGCATTTGATATGTATATTTTTAATTCGTTCAGTTATTTACTCCATTCATATAATCCAAGTTTTTGCATTTGTCTGTGTTTTAACATGGTCTCTTTTAGGGATCAAAAAAAGCTTGGGCCACGCCCAGATCGGTCTCCTTTAGGGGTTTAATTCAAAATTTCCGTCGAGCATCCCCACCCCTTTCATATGCGGAGTACCCCCTCCCGGAGAAGGATATTAAGAATTATGCAGATCGCGAAAGATGTTATCCATCGAGGCTGAACATCCTCCGAGATCTGCAAGATTTTTCACATCGTACAAAAGCCGAATTCAATACTTGTTTTATTATTCATTCAAAATATTTCTACGTTCTTAAAATGCTCACCTCCTCGTAGATTTCAAAACTTTAGCCTATTTGTCGGCACAGTTGAGGATGTAAACAGGTGTTTTATCTTGCAGATACTATTCAAAAAATAGATAACATTCATCGAGCAATATGTTTTGCGTAATCTTGCATTTCTTCCATTCAGTCTAAGTCAGAAGTTCAGCTACAGGTTGTATTTCGGGACCGGGGTCAGGAATGGAATTGACTGGCAAATTTCGATTAGGCTTTCCGCCTGTCTTAATCAAGGAAAACTGGTAGACTAATCAGTTGGACCGAATTAATTCCCGGCGTTCAATTTTGGACCAAACATTGCGTGCGTTTCTTGATTGCACCCACATATTTTGGATATTGAAAAGCAAAAATGGATTAGATATTGTTTCAAATTTGCTTGGGGCAAATAAAATGCAGATTTATGCAAACATGGGATGATATGTGTGACAGAAGAGGTCAATACTGTACTTATTGCACCGTTGTTTAAACCATACGGTGTAAATTAGGTTGCTAATGTGGTATTTACAGTCTTTTTACAGTCCAGCTAGAAAATTGCATTCACGTCTAGGTTTAAGGGTGACTCAGAATGGTATTGACTTTGTATTTGAAATCATATTACACTCTTGAAATGTATTTACGGTGACAACCGCATAATTTCTTTACACGGAAGTCTCTGCACATTGAAACATTAAACGTGCGTTTGTGCCGATTCTAATTGCGTTAAGCGACGTGCATTCAATTCATTTACTAAAAAAGGTACGTTAAACGCTTCCTTTTGATGTTCTTATTATATATTTTTGAGATCCGCATGCTATTAACGAAAAGCCAATATAAGTGCCTTTACGCTATATACACGCGCTTGCAATTGTCAACCGCCACAAAACACACGTTTACACGTCAACGCCACAAACATGCGTTTACGAATTCTGCCAACATGCATGTGAGCGATCATATTTTTGTACCAAACCGGCGAATAGAATTTTTCAGAGTTCAAAAACGAACTCGTGCGGACTACTGAAGACTCCGGCGGTCTCCACACTTGTGTTCATGCGAACCAACTGAATTAAAAGTGGAATTATTTGTTACTTTCATTTTACAACACCTATTTCACCTGCCAAAGAAAGATATTTGAAACTTATTATTTTCGAATTTAAATTCTGGACTCGAGGAAAATAAATTTGAACGGACAACTAAAAAGTGACATTACTATATATAACATGACTGCTACTTCTAGAACTAGTAGGAATACTGAAACCACTTTTGCACATTGACTAATATCAGAGAAAGAAGATGATTTCATCAAGCTCAATGTTTCTCGTTGTCATAGCGATTGCCATTAAAATCAATTAAATTTAACTTCTCGCCGAATCGGACTAGAAAAACTATTTGATAAAGTTGCTGTTAAAATATCTAAGGATTATCTCAGAAAATTTCTGAGGTAAAACACAGTCCTATTATCAGTGCTACTTTAGGCTTATATTAGCTTACTTTTATGCCAGATGTGTCTGAAAAAAAGCACATCAGCCCAATTCATTGTTAAGGGGACATTCTGTTTTTTTTTGTGGGAGAAATGAGGTTGATTTGAGAAGAAAATGATTAGGGTAGAAAAGGTATACACATAAACCAGTTATTTAAATTAGTCGGCAATTGGGATCAGAGGGACGTTGTTTCGATGATGGACTTATTTTTCCCTTCAAATTTCCATTATCAACAAACCCCAAATCCAAAATTTTAAAATTTTCTATTATTTTAAACATCTTCCTCCCCCAATTTTTATTCCCTGATTGAAGGAAAGCTTGGCTAGATTTGGAAAAAAAAGGGCAGAAATAAAAGAAAAACAAGGCTGAATTGACCAGAATCTTTCTTTCTCTTATTGCTAATACCATTTTCATCAACCGAAAAGGGGTATATATATATAAAAAAAACTAAATAAGAGTTGTCTTCTTCCTTTGCGGAAGTTGCCGACAACTTATCGAAATAAATTGTATAAAATCTACTAGTATGATAATACATTGAATCTGATCACACGGTAAATTCGTTCTTACCTTCCCGGCAGAGAGCTCGTAGGCGTTCCTTTGTCCTGTTTAGGCTGTCCGTTAAACTAAATTAAAATTTCTGTCACTCGTCTGGTGTGTTCACTGTTACCATGGTTTTTGAAGCAAACATTAAGATGTTTGTTTTACGCTATGTTTTTTAAAAAGAGGGCTTCCGCTATTAGCAGTGAGCATTCAAATCTTAAATCATTTCTGTCCTTGAACTTATCAGTGTCCTTTATTTCCTTAAAATTTCGCAGATTTTTTGAAATGAAAAAAAAAAAATATTTTGTCGGAAATCAGAAACCGCTGAATGCCTAAGTCGATAGCTACAGTGAGTGGTTTCAAGCTTCTCTTTGAATGAAAACCATATTTGAAAAAAAAAATATTGTTCCTTTCATTCGTAGGTTTCTGTGACAGCGATAAAAAGAAAAATTGCTTGAATTTGGTAGCCTTTCTTTAAAACCCGCCACTTTTAATTAGAGACTGACGTTTTCAAGTCAAAGAGTGGTTTCCGTAAGGAGACGAATTACGCCTTCTGAATCAAAACGTGGAAATTGCTTAGCTCGTCAAAACACTTAGCTGAGAATGCGCAAAAGCTACATAATAAATGAAAGCGTTTTTCTTTTTTAAATGAATTTCTTTATCAATTTAAAGGTAGAAAAAGTCGTTTCGCTCCACAGGAAATTATATTTACATTAGATATGGCGTGTTTCTCCGTCTTACTCAATATTGCTATACTTCATACACTCGGTTGCAGAACGATTTACAAACAAAAAAATGGAGTGGAAACAAACTTTGGAAGGTATGAGTAACAGCTACGATTTGGCACAACGAATTTTACAAAGCTTGACTGACCGTGAAATCCTCCCGCTTTCACCCTGTGCAGCCTGAGAGCTTGAAAATAATCGCTGTGAAAAAAAAAGGTAAGCCAGAAATTAATACATTTCGCATTAATTATACTTAATGGATGAAATTCTATTTTTCCCAAACTCTAGCTAGCGAGCATCTTTCGAGTAAAGCATCGAAATTCGGTTACCTGTAGTGAGTGTTAAAAGTGCTTCACCGGTTTAGTTCGAATGGCGTCCATGATCGTAAGCTGATTTAATATTGCAAAACTGCAGTGAGATCCCTTATTTATTCACCTGCTCGTTTGACAGATAACTGAAATTAAAAACAACTGATGCGCACTCGTCTGTGTTCCAACAATAGTCTTTTTACGTGGCTCACGCTTAGCCTCATCCAGTTCAGCTGGCTCTTGAAGAAGTATTTAAATGCAAGCTATTTTTCTTAAAACGATCTATATGCTACTGTCTCGCTGTCAGATGAACACCTTTTACGGAAACTTTTTTAAAACCAGGGCTATTCAGTTACCGCTGGAGGTATCGTTTTAACATAAATTACCACTTTCTATTTCTTGTTTCAAGGTGGAGCAGAGGAAATGGGAAAATGGATCAAACAACAGAGTCAAATTTGGCTAAAATAATAAGTCGGCACTGATACGTTGATGTGCTATCGTTTGTAAAACATATGCCGTTTACTGCAATTCAAGCAAGACGTGGTTCATTATTTGATAAATGTTCTTGCCTGAATAGTTTCTTTCTATTTCGAGAGCATTTTTACTGTAAAGAATTATAGCCAACAGACCAAGAGATCAGAATCTTTTCACTAAACCAAAAGCATTATGGCATTATTTTTTTCATTTATTGCGCACCAAAACAACAACGAAGTCTGACTTAGGCCGCAGTTGAACGGAAACTCAGAAGCGGTCTCCCTGAATCCGCTTGTCGACCGCTTGTAAGGTTTTTTGCGTTCTTTAAAGAACATAAATGGCATTTTAGTCTGCTGAGTTGTAAGCCTCGACGCTGCTAAGAGTAAACAATGTTTAGATGCGAGCGTTAGCAAAATTCAAAATGTTTTAGAACACTGCTTTAAAGCAGTGTTTAAACTCTGTTTAACTGATCCATGTCTCAGCAAGGTCACGTACCGACAACTCACCAAGAATCACCGAGACGCAAGTTTTTGGCATTCAGGTCATATCCAGCACTCGAGCTGAGGCGGTTTAAATTTGTATACACAGCAAAAACTCTTGTGTTTTGGGTTGTTCACACGAGAATTATATTTATTCGTTTACAAATGTATCCACTATGACGACCGTTTACATGCACGAAAGTCGGAAAAAATGCACGTTATAACTTGAAGATTGTTAACTTTAATGGACTCGACCTCTGTATATGGGGCGAGTTGTCCCACTCAAGAAGTCGCTATAAATTTTGTTTTCAAATGATCACAAAAGTCAACAATCTCCTGATC